AAAACTTTACTCAGAGGGTGGTAAGGCACTGGAACAGGCTGCCCAGAGAAGCTGGGGATAGTCCATGCCTGGAAGTGTTCAAGGCCAGGCTGAATGGAGCTTTGGGCAAGCTGGTCTGGGGGGAGGTTGCAATTAGATGACCTTTAAGGTCATCTTCCTTCCAACCCAAACCATTGTACAACTCTGTAATCCATAGACAGAGTACAATAAAGTACTAAAAACTAAGTAGTAAAGCTAAGTGTTTGCCTGACACTCCAGAGCTAAATGAGCAACTGCAAAGACATTCTCAGTGTCCTGGTTTCAGTTAGGACAGAGGGGACAGACCCAGGACACTCAGCCTGCAGAACTGGGTTACAGAGTAGGATTGTTTACTTTAAAGCAATATCTGCAAGCAAAACGTTCTTCCTGTTGCAGTTCTTGAGGCAACTCTCAAGGAAGAGTGTGAAGAACCTCTCGGTGGGCAAGAAACTGGGGCTATGTCTGACCTGGGCTGATTGACTTCAGAGCTAACAACCACATAGTAACCAATCCCTTTTCCAGCTGTACCAAAAAAAACAGCCAGCCTCATCTACTCTAAATGAATTTAGCAGTGGCCGGTAGCGCCCCTATTACAATTTTTCTGGTTTGATACACTAACCTGAACACCAAAACGAGAGGCAGACACATTCTCGCAACGGAAGTGCACATTCACACAGTGCTTACGAGTAAAGGAAGCATCTGCTGACTTGCAGCTCTCAGACCTTTTCTCTGTGCCCTATTTTCTCTTCTCCACTTAATCCCTTTTTCCTCAGTGAAGGCTATTTAAATTTGAAGGTGAATTAGGATTCACCAGATTGCTCCCTTCAAAGAGCTGTGTAGCACTGTGGATGTCAGAACAATATCCCGTTTTTCATGCTGACTTACATTTTGCTGTAATTGGACTGTAAAAGAAACCTCAAATATTAGCACATTAAGGCTGCTGGCCTTCATGAACAGCAGCCACAACAGTGATTGCAGTGCTGACATGTTAAAACACAAGAAAAATTGTCTAGATAAGAAACAATTAAAATGGCTTCTCTACACATTTAATAGATCTCATGTTTTGGAGGAATATTCAGTTCAGCATATCTCAGCAGCAACAAGTGTTTAAGCACACCTTCAGGTCACCTGATGGAAGCATTTCTCATCAATCAAGCTATGATGTTGGTCATTTCGTGATACAAAGTTACCCAATGAACTTCCAACAACATACAACAGCTACAGGAAAACTATCTGAAAACGCCCCAAAAGGCTCACTAACAGTCACTGCCTACATAAACGAACAGGTTCCTGCTCTTTGGGGACAGTCACAAGGTGAGAGGGATTATTGCAAAATATCTTAAGCTTCCGTATGTAGAAATCTGGTAAGTTCAACTTGACAACATAATCACGGGCATCAATCTATTTCATAAACTTCATTAAGGCATGTCACAACACCAGAGCCACTCAGTTTTCCCATTTGGAAAACTGAATAAACTCCACGTTAGCTTTTCCACAAAGTCCCATCTAGTTAGCACTGATAACACACTTGGGTATTTGGGTGGGACTGGTTAGGTATAAAAATCATAGTTTGTCACCCAGCATGCAAGAAAATGGGAACAGATTTTAAAATGCATATGAAATCAAGGGACGATAAATACTTTTTCTTCCATACATTAAGAATCACTACTCCAATACCCTCCCTTGCAAACACTAGACATAATAAATTCAAATCATTATTAACAGCGTGTTCTGATATGGTTCTTAGAGCAAACAAACTTCTCTTATTAGTAAGAAGTGTGTGTACTACTCTTCGTTCTTCTACATGCTCTTTTTACAGAAGTCATTGGAAAACAGTCAGTCTACAATAGCTGCAATTATCTCTGGAGATCCTGAATACCTGCAACTGGAGTCGACTCTGAAAATAAGTAAGCTTTCTCCATTTTTTCCTGTTGATTTTTGGATCATGAACTTGACTGGTCACACCTATCTGTTCAATCACAAGAGATATGAATGTATTATTTGGAACCTACATGCAATAATAGAGTTTTTATCCAGTCAAAGTTAAGAGCTGCTGACTCTAAAATGAATCTTTGGAAATAAACTAGAATCTACCATGCGATTATTCAGAAGTGTCCTGATTTATAAAATACTGTTAGCTAAATGCTAACGCTAGATGTCTTTCCCGAAAGACAGCATTTACATTGCAAACTTCATGGAAATTCGCCAGCTGGTATACTGGATATACCTCTCTGAATTTTCTCCACAGTAGTAACTGAAGAAACTCCCCTATTGCCTCCAGTAGGAAAACGCTGGTGTAGGAAAAAATTAATGATTGACTTTTGCCATCCAGTAACTGCAATCTAGCGCAGTCAGTGAACTTAATGGTTATCACTGTCCAACAACACCAGCTTTCCAAAGAACTTTGACAGAGTTCTCCACGAGAACTTTCATGACGTTGGTCGGTGCAGACCAGCTTCTCTGAAATTCAGCCCTCAGCAGACAAGGTGTTCTCAATTAACTAGTTCCAATATTCACACCATGAGGCCAGCGGCAGCTCTTCTGCAAATCCCATCAGAGGGCTCGTGATTCTACCAGTACATTAAATAATGTGCAATGCCTCATTAGTGTGCCAGAGGATACATTCATGGTCTTATGTGCAGAGTTCTAGAGCTGCGCAATCCCCGTTAATCAGTTTATTTGATTGTATCAGAGCGAGCTTAATAGAATTAAGGGAGAAATACAAAGTCAGAAACTCCTACAAGCTGGAAGCAATGAAATTCAGTTGTAAAGACAGTTTTATTTTTATTAACTTTACCCAGGGATAATACTATCAGATAAACTAAAGGTCAGATACAATAAAAAGTATCTAGGTCAAAGGGAACCACTATAGCACCACGGAGCTTGAGATATGGGACTGAAAAAACATAAACAAGAACTTCTAAGCCACTTTGGAACATTTTCAAGTCTGCCTGTAACGCAACTTTGTTAGGTCTCAACACAAAGTGGGGCAATAAGCTTTAGGAGACTTCATTCGAAGCTCCTGCCTCGTCAGATCTGCTCACAGTCAAATATTTCAGTATATTCCTCACACATTTTGGCAAGTCAGACTACCAGCCCCATTTTTAACCTTCTGCACCACACATAATAGAAGGGCTGTAACCATCAGTGTTGGATTTCTAGCCAAAACACTAAGGAAACACAACGTTCAGGACAACAGGCCTTCATGGGAAATTCACTGAAGCCTTGAAGCCAAAACTTCAATGGGCTTTGCTGCAGGTCTTTAGTTTTCTTTGAACAGCTAACACAGGAACAAAGGTGCAGCTTTAATGACCTTGGTGATGATAAGAGTGAATATAAGAAACAAACTCTACAGCTAGGTACCTTTTAAACCAGTAGATCTCCTCTGGATCTGCAATTCCATATTCTCTTAACTTCATAACCATCAGAGAGCTCTTCCTGATGGCTTGCTCATAGCGTTGGCTTCGGGAGAGGAAGTTCAAATCCTCGTGCTGGAAGTCAGGGTCATTAATAACTAAGGCCTCTGGGGACAGAAGAGAAGAGGAAAACAAACTCAGTTTTCACAGGCCACAGTAAATTGTGCATGAAATGATTCAGCTTTTTTCCCTCTGCTGTACCTCAGGTTGCAGAAACCAAAAAATTAAAACACAGCATTAAATGTTAATGAAATCAGGAAGAAGTCACAAAGCTCTTGAGTGTTTTGGATAGAAGGGCGCTTACAACTAGGCACTTTCTCATTACTCCACGTAAACCACATTTCAAATTAGGCACATTCAGGACTTAGCAGGAGATTAACTCACTGATATAAGAACTGCATGCCACTCAACTATTTCACCTCCTCAAATGGCCACTGTTACTGTAGGATCAGATTGCCTCACCAACATCTGATCACCGTGCAACTTCTTGGAGGAGGGCACAGCTATTAGTCCCCCTGTGCTGTCTGGAAACCCAGGCACCCAGAGGCTACAGACTTTCCCTGTCCCCTTTGGCACAGACATTGCACAACACCAGCCTCTGCCAGTCCCACCCCCAGCACTGGCCGGGGAAGAAAAGATGGCAGCATTGCAGTAACCCCATATATCATAGCAGTGACAAATGAGAAACACGCCAACTCCGTACCGTTGGGCAAGAGCACACCAGAAGGACAAGAACGAGGGGAGAGGGCCCCGAACAGATGCCCCTGGGAAGCTGCCTCTCACCAGGCAGAAGGGGGAGGATGGGAGCCTGGCACCCTTTCACCAGCCTCACATCCCCCCCCCTGCACCCCAAGGGGGGAAATCCCTTCCCTCAGGCACCCCCCTGCCTGCACCCCATCTCCTCACAGCCTGACCCTCTCCCTGGAGCACCTCATCTCCCCCAAAGCCCCCTCAGGGCCCTCCTCTCCCCCCTAGAACCCCCTTTCCTCCCCTGAAGGCCCCCCAGAGCCCCCTCAGGGCCCCCCCAGAGCCCCCTCAGGGCCCACAGCCGCCCCTCCCGCCCCTTCTCCTCACAGCTCCCCTCGGGGCCTCCCTCACCAATCTCCTTTCGGCGCCGGGTGCGCTCGGCGCCGCCGTCCAGGATGTGGGTGAGCAGCTCGGGCTGGAAGGTGGCGGCGGCCCGCTCCCTGCGCAGGTCGGCGTTCATCATCGTGAGGCGGCGGCGGCGGCTCCGCTTCGGCTCCGCTCGGGTCGGGTTCGGCTCCGCTCGGCTCCGGTTCGGCCCCGGTTCGGCTCCGTTCGGGTCCTCTCGGTTCAGGTTCGGGTCCGCTCGGCTCCTTTCGGGTCCGGTTCGGTTCCGCTCGGTTCCGACTCGGCTCCCCCCGGCCCAGGTTCGGCTCCTCTGAGCTCCGCCCGCCCTGCGCCTGCGTCCGACCTCAGCTCCGCCAGCCCCCGCGTGACGTCACGCCCGCGACCTCACGCCCCGCCACGTGACCCCACCCCCGGCTGGAGGCGGGGGGGGGGGGGAGCGGAGGGGCCAGAGGTGAGTGCGGGGCGGGGGGGGGGGGGCACGAAATAGGGCTGGGAACGGGCACGGTGCATGCATGAGGCACGGCGTGCCTGGGGCTGGGTGTAAATTCAATCGGGCTGCAAACGTGCGTGCAACGTGGTGTGCATGGGGCTGCACGTGCATTAAATCCTGCCTTAAATGTGCATGCATGGTGTGCACGGGGCTGCATCTGCGTTAAATCGTACCTGGAATGTGCATACGTGGTGTGTACAGGGCTGCACATGCATTAAATCCTACTTTAAATGTGCATGCATGGTGTGCACGGGGCTGCATCTGCATTAAATCCTGCTTTAAATGGGTGTGGAACATGTGCACGGGGTTGCACATGCAGTAAATCATACCTTAATTGTGCATGCGTGGTGTGCACGGGGCTGCACATACATTAAATCACACCTTAAACGTGCATACGTGGTGTGTACAGGGCTGCACGTGCATTAAATCCTGCCTTAAATGTGCATGCGTGGTGTGCACGGGGCTGCACATGCATTAACTCCTGCTTTAAATGTGCATGCATGGTGTGCACGGGGCTGCACATGCATTAAATCCTGCCTTAAATGTGCATACGTGGTGTGTACAGGGCTGCACATGCATTAAATCCTACTTTAAAGGTGCACGCATAGAGTGCACGGGACTGCACGTGCATTAAATCATACCTTAAATAAGCATGCAACGTGGTGTCCCCGGGGTTAAGCATGCATTAAATCAGGCTGTATATATGCATATGGCATGGGGTGCCTGGGGCTGGGCATAAATTAAATCGGGCTGTAAATGTGCATGCAACATGGTATACCCAGGGCTGGGCATGCATTAAATCATACCTTAAATAAGCACACACCATGGTGTGTGCCTGGGGCTGGGCATGCATTAAATCATGCTTTAAACGTGCATGCCACATGGTGTGCCTGGGCATGCAGTGCACATGTGTTCAGTGTGCATACGTGGTGCGTCCTAGGGCTGAGCGTGCATTAAATCGTGCTGTAAATGTGCACACAGCGTGGTGCATCTGGGGCTGGGCGTGCATCAAATTGTGCATTAAACCATGCATACAATACTCTGCAGCTGTGGCTGTGCTTGCCTGAAACTGTGCACTAAATGCAGATAATGTGTTGCATCTGGGACTTCTCATTCCTTGTGAATTAAACGTGCGTACAACATTTTGCATTTGAGGCTGAGCATACATTCAATTGTGCATTAAATTAAGTATTAAATTTACATATAACATGTTGCATCTCAGGCTGGATGTGCATGTAACTGCCGTATCTTGGCTGTGCATTCAATTGTGAATTAAGTAACAGATTGATCATGCACATAACGTGCTGCATCTGCAGCCAGGCGTTTAATAAACGATTAGTTAAATGGCTCATTAAGTGCCCACGTAGCATACTGCACTGGGACAGGGCACAGGTTACGTAGCGCCTTGGATAGCACACTGTGTGTGGTTAATGTGCTGCACTTGGAGCCAAGCATACACTAAATGCACACACAACATGCTGCTGCTGATGTTGTGCAGTGCATGCAGGATCGCCCTGCTTTCGGTGGCCTCCCACAGCTGGTCTATGGGATGGCAGCGGGGTGTTTTGAGAGGTTACAGCCCCCTGAGCAATGCATGGGGTGGGGAAGAGGCACCGAGCGTTAAAGCTTTGGGGTTGCAGCTCAGCGTGTCCCTGCTGCTGTGGGGTCAGTACTGGTGCTCCCCAGCACCTTGGGAGGCATCCCTTGTCTGGTTTGCAGGGGCTGTGGGCAACAATTGGCATCTTCCCCCAGTGGGGCGTGAAGCCAGAGAGAAAAGTATTAAATGGAGCACAGAAACTTGCCAAATCCAGAGACTGCAAGGGAGAAAGCAGAGAAAATGCCAGAAGAAACCACTCTGGGGCACAGCCACATGCCTGGCCACGGCACAGAATTGTTCTGCAACTGCAGGATCAGCCAGTGCCAGAATTGAATTTCCTATCCTGCAGCATGAGAAGACTCAGGACTATCCCTTAAGTCTTACTGCATGGCACCCTGTCACCTCAGCAGCCTGCAGCTCCGTCCTTCACACTCCCTGAACGTCTCAATCCCTACTTTTCTTCACTCACCATTATTTCCACTTCCTTAATCTTCATCAACTCACCCGAAATGTGGGGGAAACCTGGGGGGTCTGGTGGGCTGCCTGTTGCTGTTCACGTCGGGTTGTGGTGGGGGAAGGCAGTCACCCTCCATGCCAGGGGAGGATGCTGCACGCAGGACTCAGCGGGGAAGGCAGGCAGCTCCTGCAGCCCCCTGGCTGGGGGGGACATTGGCACAGCAGGAGTTTCAGGGCAGTCTCACCCAGCACCGGGCCAGGTACAGGTTGGCAGGAGCTCAGATCTGCTTTCCTACAGGTTGCTTGAGATGCTGCCAAATGCTGGGGTCTACTACTTCCCATGGGAGATCAACAGCTCCGTGCCAGAGGGGGAGGCACTGAGGACGTTTGGCAGGTGAGAAGGGTACCCCGGGTGTCGGGTCTCTCCTTCGCTGCCCTGCACCCCCCTGCTTGGTTTGTAGTGCCCGTTGCACACCGCTGAGCTTCCTGCATCCCTCGCTCCCAGGTTGAGCTGCTACGACCTGGCGCGGTCCGAAGCCATCCTCAGTGCTCAGCACAGCGAAGCCCAGCACCGCGTCCGCGTGGACACCCGACTGGTGGAACCGTTTGAAGCCCAGCTGGGATCCCTCTACATGGTGCTAGGAGAGGCTGAACACAGGGAAGGTAAATGAGTTACCCGAGGAAACGCAGGTTGGCTTCACCCAGTGGTGCTGACTCATGGTCTCCCTCTCCCAACTCAGCTGTGGGCTCAGGCATTCAGTGGTGAGAGCTCAGTCAGCACCTGTGCAGCTCTTAAAATTGTTTTGCCACCACCTGCTTCAGTGTCCACATCCATACCATGGCCACAAGCCTCACTTGAAGGAGTCCCCACACAGTGCCACAGATTGCACAACGCTGCTTTGGTGCCACCTGCTCGAGGAACTGGTGCCTGGTTCTCCTGCTGGTGATTCTTCAGCTCCTTCACAGCTCCCTGGGCACACGGTGAGACACACCATCGGAGGTTAACGTTGGCCAGGGCAGCTTCAGCCTGTGCCACTGCCTCTGGTCACACAAAGTGCCTAATTCAGGGCAGGAGCAGCCAGTCACTCCTTGGTGACCACAGGAAGAGCCACCCTTATCTTGGTGAAAACCTGGTGCTGTGGCACAGCTCTCTTTAGAAGGCAGACATGCCTTAGCAGCACAACTGAGCTTGCAAAACCTGTACTAAAGCATTCTGGCTCCGCTGCCATCAGATCAGGTCAGCTTTGCTCCGTGACAGATTGCAGCAACACCTCCCTGTGAGCTGGCTGGGTCGGTCCTTGCCATCCTTGAAAGGCTCTAATTATACCCCTGCTCTCAGCGATGGGGCATGAGGAACACGGGCAGGCTTTGTCACGCAGGGCACTCTGTTGTCACCCTGCTGCCCTTTCCTGGGGTGCCCTGAGTGTTATTCCAGCTGCACGGTGCTTTGTGTGGGGAGTGGATCAGGGCTGGGCCACGGGGTTGTGAAGCAAATCCCGAGAGTTGTCTTGGCCACACCTGGTATCAAGCATCCACATTTGTGCCCTCAAAACCCTTGGTGGCAGGTGGAAAGCCACACTGCACGTGGCTTCTGGTGTGTCACCTGCTAAGCCTCTGCTACGAAATTCCTTCAGAAAGAGTTGTTGTTTTGGTTGTCACCGCTGCGGAGTGAGCTGGCCCCATTCTGCAGGCGTGGAAGGGGAGGACCAAGAGGCAGCACTGAGCCTTTTTAAGCCCAGCTTTGTTCTGTCCCCCTCTTGCCTGCACAAAGGTGTTCACAGATGGGCTTAAACCCAACCCTGATGTTTTTTACACATGGAAAACCAAAACTGCACAATCCAGCCACGAGGTAGATGGATGCTGGGTGGCTGCTGAGGACACCAGTGTCAGCCACCAGCATTTGGCAGCCAAAAAGGCAGAGGGAAGCCAAAGAATTAACCTGCACTCAGGTCTGTGGTGGCATTCAGCCAGACTTGTCTCCTCCAAGGTCCTGGGCCATGGTTATTTGGCCACCTGGAGCCATACACTGCTAGAAGGAACCTCTCTGTGTGCCCCCAAGCAGCTGCATCTGTTGTGCTTCCTACAGAAGCTTCCCGTTTATATTCCTAGGTGAGAATCCAGTGATAAAAGCCCGGATACTGACCTGCGTGGAAGGGATGAATGTGCCCTTGCTGGAACAGGCCGTACAGGAGCAGAGGAAGTACTTCAGTGAGCGGCAGCAGTGGATGGGAACGGACACATCCTGATGGCAGCTCCAAGCCGTGCCGTGAGCTGGTCCCCACCACGGCCACCTGGTAGCACTGCCATTGGCAACAAACATCTTGAAAGTGTATTTAGAAGGTGGGTTTGAAACACAACTGCTTTTTGGCATGGCAGAGAGAGGTCAGTAAGTAGGGGAACATGTGAAGACTGTGAATCAGTATGTAGTTGCGGAGCTGCCAGCATGTGGCAGGTGTCATCACTGAAAATCACTCAGGGAGACGGGTTTGTTGTTTAAGAGGGTGGGTAAGGAAAGAGCAGGTGATTTACAACAGTCCTGTTGTGACGCAGGGCTTAGAGAAGTCAGAAAAAGGCAAAGTATATGGAGCTGGAGTTAAGCACCTGTGCACACCCCCCACACACACTACCAAGGTGCAGCAGATAGAAGGTAAAGGCCATTAGTGCAAAGTTCATTAGCCCTGCAAGGCTGCGGGTCCAGCACACACATGTGCTGTGTTGCAGTGACTCAGCTGCCACACAGGAGCATTCCTGGCAAAACACTCAGGTCTGGACTGAACAAAGGAACAAGAAGGGCGAGGAGTCACTACTTTCGGTAGCACTTATCTCTACAGGGGTTCAGGAGCTTGTGTTCAAGGCAGGTCGTTGACTTTAGCTCTAAATTAAATATTTGCAGTGCTCTGAGAACCACCACTTTACTTTCTTCCTTGACACAGTTAAGTTTAGGAAACTTTAAACCACTATTTTTTGGAAGTATCTAAAGGTTTTGTTTGGTATGTTCCTAAATAAAGATGAAAAGAGAATGTGACCTGTCTTTTATTGATTAAAAAAAACTCTTTCTTGCTATGACAAATACATTAGTCCCTGCTGAAACACCACGGATGATGTAAGAAAATTTAGCAAAATGCAATTTTCCTCCCACTACAAAGTAGTGGGTGTGTAAGGAAGCACTTAGTTTTGAAAAAGTTGCAAGAAGAGGAGTTGAAATTACATCAGAGCCACTCTGGTTTAAGAACATGGTGCTAGGTCCACCCAGCAGGATTAAATGGTCAATAAAAAGACAGAAAAATCACTACTGTGAGATGAGAATAAAATGGTAGTGCACACAAGAAGACTTTCCTGTGCAGTGGGAACTGCTGGACCTGGAATAAGTTGGGACTAACTCAGCCACCTGCAGCCTTTCCTGTTTTTTTGTTTACATTCCCTGGTGGAGCATTTAGAAAATAAGGACTGAAGCCATACAGCGCACAGAAGTGGATCAAAATGGAACAGATATTGGCAAAGTCCCATTTTACCAGCAGGCTTGATTCAAGATCCTGAGATTGCTCAATAATTACAGTGCTTGTGATAATCTTTAATCATAGTTTAGCCTTCTGTTTTTCTTCATGCAGTTACTAAGCTCTGAGATGCCTGCCTCTGCACACTGTTCAGCCCAATTCCAACAACATAAGATAAAAGATTTTTTTTTTTGTAAGACACAATGATTAAAAAAAACAGACAAGAGGAAATGTGGCAATGCCTCGAGATGCAGATGTGAATGCAAACTCAAACTTCACAACCCACAAGAGGACCCACGCAGGAGCTTGCCTTGGACATGAAAATCCATAGGGAGCTGGGGCCCAGCTCTGCTAGCCACTTTAGTTCCTCCAAATCAGCAAAATCAGAATCACTTTTAAGGTATTTTGAGATGGTGACTCAGCAAAGTCCTAAATCTGTCCTGTTTAGGTCACCTGTAGATGCACAGCCAGTGGGCTACTGTGTCCTGCTGTGCCCATCCCAAGACATGTGGCCCCAAATTCTGGAAGAAGGCAGACCTGGATCTCCATGACTCTGCCTTTTGTGGTGCCACAATTTATGATTTTTTTTTTTAATCTTGTCCTCTGCCAGCTGGCAAGTCAATAATTAATCCGCCCCCTACAAGGACATCTTCCAAAAGGCTGACCAAGCACTGCAGCCCACAGCATTCACGGGACAATTGCACAAGATAAAGAAAATAATGCATTTGTGCCACATGTTTGCCCTGAGCATGTTCCAGGGAGCCCTAATTACACACCACATCCCCTTTACACCAGGTACTGCACCAACAGAGCTGGAGAGCTTCTCTTGGCCCCGTGCAGCCTTTCCCCCAGACCCCAGGTGCCACTTTGCATAGGTTTTCCTCAATTTTTGCTTTAACCAACGCATCCCACAGCCTCAATGCAAGCATATGGCCCTGGGCAGGGCTTGGGGGGCTTTTTTGGGGCCTGTCTGGCAGCCCCACAACCCAGGCAGCCCTGCCTGCCGGTGCTGTCCCCACCCACAGCTGGTTCCTGGGCAGCAGGGAAGGGAAGCAGACATTTTCTGTCTTCCTGCACCTCATTTCCCCCCCTTAGGAAACAGGGCCAGCTGCCCCCTGCTAGAGCCAGGAGGCCAAGGCCATGGAGACCCTCCAGCAGGCGTTCCAGAAGGTGGAGAAGATCGGGGAGGGCACCTATGGCGTGGTGTACAAGGCTCGCAACAAGCGCACGGGGCAGCTGGTGGCCCTCAAGAAGATCCGCTTGGACTCGTGAGTGGGGCCGAGCCCTGTCCCCAGCACCACCATGGGAGTGAGCAGGAGGGCCCTGAGCACAGCCCAGTGTCCAAAGTGGTGCTAGAAGCTCAAAAAGAGCCTGACATGAGGGGAAAAATTCTCTCCAGGCTGACATGAGTACAGCTAGGGCCCATGGCACCATGTCCCAGGGCCGGGGAGGCAGCCGCCATGTTGGGCTGCAGCTTCTCCCTCAGCAGTGCAGTGCTGGGGCCTGGTGATGCTCAGCACCCAGCAGAGCTGACTTGGGTGGGGACCGAGTACATAAAAACGTATCCCCAGTCCTCTGGGTTGGCCCCGGGCTGTTTCTACACTGAGGGGTGTCACTGCAGATAGGCAGCCATGGTAGACTGCGCCCCATGACTGTTCCCTCCCTCACCACCCCCATGGCTCCATTTCCCCCCAGCTCATGCTCTGTTCCAACCCAAACCTGGGGTGCCCCATGTGAGACCTTCTCCTGGGCCCAGAATAGGGCACAGTGTTAGGGGAAAAAGGGAAACAGCACCCTGCCAGGCTGCAAGGTCCAGCTGTGGGACAGGGTGCCCTACAGCCTACCTTTACCACAGGGAAACAGAGGGCGTCCCCAGCACAGCCATCAGAGAAATCTCACTGCTGAAGGAGCTGAAGCACCCCAACATAGTCAGGTAAGAGCCATAAGAACCCTCCCCATCAGCTCACTGACCAGCTGCTGCTCATCGATGTGGTCAGCTCCAGATCACACAGCAAGAGTAGCCTTCCAGTCCTTCACTGACTACACAGAAAGAAGGAAAACAAACCAACCAACCAAAAAGATGCAAGAATCTCTTCTGCTTCCTTGTACAGCAGTAGCTCACAGCATTACTGCTTCACTTCACCAACACAACCTGGTTCAGACTACTGCTACCCCTCATCCTGGGTGCTGCTTTTATACCTAACTCACTGCTCTGCCCCAGAGGGCTCTCAAAACAGATGCACCTGTGCGAGGGAGGAGGGATGTTTAGGAATTGGCAAAGGTCTGGAGAAGAAGGTCACCCCAGGTGTCTTGTAAGAGGCTGTAACATCCTTGTATAGCATGGATTCCCATGCAAAGGTACTGAAAGGAGTGCTTGCACTTCTCTTGCAGGCTCCTAGATGTCGTGCACAGCCAAAAGAAGCTGTATCTGGTATTTGAATATCTCAATCAGGACCTGAAGAAATATATAGATTCCTCCCAAACTGGAGAGTTTCCTTTAAGCTTGGTCAAGGTACAGTGCAGAAAGAGTGAGTGCTAATAGGCTTGCAAGAGTGCGTGTCCTTGCTGCCTTCTGCTGGTCGGAGCCAGCACTGAGCTGCTTTTAGCCCGACAGCATTGGGAAGGGATTCATCCTTGGCTGGAGTCATTCAGTCTGTCGGATCTCTGACACTACAGCTGGGAAGCCTCCTGGTGCTATTGCTCAGGGCATTTGTTTCCCAGCTGTTTCCAGGCTCTCCAGCCCATCTCTGTGTTGAATAAACTGTTGATATGAGGATAACAGAGGAATCTATTGCTAATTGCTTTTGCATGGAGTAACAGATGAGTGGAAGGGACTGCCACTGCTTAAATTGGAATGTCTCTGTCCCCCTACAGAGGGGGAGCAGTTTGTGTGCATCTCTGGGTAGTAGCCTGCAAGCCTGGTGTTGCATGACAGCAAGATCATGTTTCCCATTCCGGCTGATAAACAATCCAAAGCGTGTCGGTTCACATGACTAAACCTTTGAAATGGTTTCAGTTGTGGCCTTGTCTAAACTCTCTTCTCTCCTCAGAACTACCTTTTCCAGCTGCTGCAGGGTGTGAGCTTTTGCCACTCACACAGAGTCATCCACAGGGACTTGAAGCCACAAAACTTGCTCATCAATGAAGCAGGAGCCATCAAACTGGCTGATTTTGGTCTGGCAAGAGCTTTTGGAGTTCCCTTGCGGACATACACTCACGAGGTACTGTTGAGACTCCCTGCCATCTGACAGCATGGTCCACAATGTGAACAACAGCAGCACAAGTGACTTGATCCACAGCTGTGCCTAAACACCTGCCCTTAACCTCACCTGTAGCTAAGGGGTTATCTTGTGTCCCCACAGTGTGCTGGCTGCTTCCATCCCAGCCTGCTTGCAAGCTGGGTTCCCACCTTCTCTGCATAGGCTATATTTTTTCCAGTGACCTGCTGAAAAACAATCTGTTAATCCTAATCATGCTGTCACTAAGGTGTCTGCTAATTAGGCACGGCCTTGGCACACTCTGATTTATCCAGTCACTGAGACACAACCCAGAAAAGAGAATCCCATGCCTCTACACAGAGCCTGTTTGTTGGTTCCTTACCAGGTGGTGACTTTGTGGTACCGAGCCCCTGAAATACTCCTGGGATGCAAATACTATTCAACTGCTGTGGATATCTGGAGTATCGGCTGCATCTTTGCAGAAATGGTAGTATGGGTTTAAATGGTGTCCTTAATGAGCGGGGAGGACGCAGCTGCAATGGGAAGTGGAAAAGGAGGGGCAGGATGCAGAAAGTCCTGTGGGCCCACCCTGTGTTGGGGTGTGTTTTATGGAAACTCCACCCTGAGGGTTAGCTGAACGCTCAGAAGGAAATCTGCTGGCTGTAGGGACTTGGCAGAAGGCAAAGCAGCCTCTGTAGTCCAGTTGCAGTGTCAATATGTGGTGATATCAGACTTCATTCTTGCTGCTGCAGCATTCTGAACCTGGGAGGAGATAACTCTCTGGCAGGTGTCCCCCACCAGCCTGCAGAGAAGTAGCACTTGGCACAGCATCACTCTTTGGGTCTCCTAGGTGTCCACAGTCTACTTCAAAGAGCTCAACATCCCTGCAGTGAGACAGCACTGCCCCTACCTCCCAAAACCTGTGAGGTGCAGATCAGAAGAGCCTGGGCAAGTAGGTGGGGAGGGTGCTAGCCTGCAAGAGAAAATGGTAGGAAACTGGAGGCAAAGAGGGATAAGGGTCTGGTTGAGAGAGAGTCAGCCTTAGTGGGGCCTGAGTCCACGGAGGGGAGCTGGAGACAAGCCCTGGTGAGTTTCACAGCCACTGCCTAAACTGCCCTGCTCTGTGGACAGCAGTTTGCAGAAGGAAACAGGGCACAAAGCTAATGGAGAGGTGGGAACTGGCTGCTTTTTTTGCCCCAGGTGACCAGGAAAGCCCTGTTTCCAGGGGACTCTGAGATCGATCAGCTCTTCCGGATCTTTCGCACCCTGGGTACTCCCACTGAGGCGACCTGGCCTGGGGTGACACAGCTGCCTGACTACAAGGGGGACTTTCCTCGGTGGAGAAGGAAAGAGATGAAGGAAATCGTTCCCAACTTAGATCGAGATGGCAGAGACTTACTGGCAGTAAGTGAGGGTTCATAACAAGACCTGGGGAAACAACCTTATCAAACCAGGCAAAAAAAAGAGATATTTGGGACAGATCTACCTTGAAGTGCGTTAGCTGATTTGGCTCTAATGTTCATCTTTGCCAACATATAAAAACCAGATCATGGAAGAGGGCTAAATGCTGGCTCTGAAATAGGGCTGTCAGTGTGGGTTCCCCTAAGGCACCACTGCACAGAGGGTCTGAAAGGCCCTGGAGTGTAACCCACATGGTAACTTCAGCTGTGGGTTATTCCTCAAGCCCAGAGAGAGGAAAAGGCAGGAAAAACATCTGCATTTGGGCAGATGTTTTTAGAATCCTAAAGCTTTTAGAATCCTAAAGCTGGTGGGTTTTTCTCTTGGCAGCAATTGCTCCTGTACGACCCCAGCAAGCGCATCTCAGCCAAGGCAGCCCTCAGTCACCAGTACTTCTTCTGGAAAAGCCCGCAGAGCACCGAAGAGCAACGTGTGATGCAGAGACACTGCAGATGAAGTGATGCAGCTCTCCCCGTGCTGTGTACCCCTGGCTAGCAGCGCAGATCTGGTTTGGGGCACTTAGCAGGGGACTAGCTGGGGCTTGGGGCCTCACTTCTGAGGAGCCCTGAGGGGAACATTCTTGCAGTTAGAGACTCTCAGCCTGTTGCTGGAGGAGGATTTGCCTAGGTTATGGCCAGTAGAGCTGTTTTGAAGAGGTCGTGTGGAAAGGTGGGGTTATTTATCATCATAAAACACTGATATGTAAGTGGTAGAGCATAATTGTCCTTCATTAGCCAGCAAGCTAAGGTGACACACGGTGTTCTGGAGCATCACCAGCTCTTGCTGCAGGTCTGACGGTGGCAGTTCCTGACACCAGGGTGTGCTGGAGCTCCACCGTGGGTAGGACAGCACTGCTCTGCTCCGCTGGTCGTTGCTGTTAACAAGAACCAGGTTTGTCAGTGTTAGACTCATTGTTTAAGTTGAGCTGTTTAATAGAGCTAACATTCTGCTGTTTTGCAAGCTGAAGAGTGCTGTAAGGTATCTGAACTTGTGTTTTAGCTGGGACTGAGAAGCCAGAAGATCCAGTTAGCGTAAAGCACTTAGGTTGGAAACGGTGACAGCTGAAACACCAGCTTTCCATCATCGGTCCAGATGTAACACTGCTTCCTTTGCTTTATTGTCTTGGAAAAGTTTTTGCCTTCGAGTGTTTGGAGAATTATAACTAACTTTTAATGTGTTTTTGACATCTGAGATTTTTTTTTCCAATACAGAAAAAAATAAAGGCTTGTCGTTTGTTCAGAAGCATCTGTGTTTATTGCTTGGCTCAGCCCGTCGGGCTTGTGACGCAGGACAAGCTGGCTGGTCCCTTTTGTTTCCACAGACCTCTTCTCCCCTCACCATCTCCTGCACTCTTTCTTTTATTCTTTCCAGCTCACATCCTTGGCAGGTGCAGAGATGTGCTCTCAATTCCGTTGATGGTTCTTCAGCCCAGTGCTGTCTCAGTACAATAAGATGGGATTTCTTTCCATCAGTGGTTGCCACAGGCCAGTTCAGAGTTAGGTCCTACTTATTTAAATACTCGAGACAGATTTTTAACTTGGGGAAGCCAAAGTTCCAAAAATTCTGTTTTTCGTGCTTGTGCACACGCAGCCCCCTAAAACCTGTGAGCCTAAGAGCTGATTTCAGCACAAGCTGACAGCTCCCAAAAGCTATCACATTCCTAGAACTTAGTAACAGCTACACAACGTGGTGGAGGAGAGAGGCTGCTGCACATCTCAGCTGCAGCCTAAACCCCTCCCCACCTGTGAGACAGCAGAAACCTTTAGACTTCTCCCATAAAAAATCCCCTCTCAGCCCAAAACCTGCCTGTCTGAAGCCAAGCTCTGTTAACCTTTGACTTGCTCCTTCTTCCCACCTGAGAAAAGGCAGCTGGTGGCTCTGCTTAATTCCCAACATCAAAAAGATCTCTGTCATCTCTACTGAAGCAGCCACCCCACACACACTCCCAAGAGCAACACCCAGGGAGCTGTTGCTCACCTCCCTCTGGCCCTGCCCTGCCGCCTGGCTGAATTCCCCCTGCAGGTTTAGCAGCCGCCAGGACCTGGGTAGCTCTCTTGCATCTGCAATTTGCACAAATTAGGTTTTGGGGAGGGTTGCTTTGCTTTTGAAGCTGTTAGGAGTCATGCTGGAGTGTCTGCCTGGAAAAAAGGTGTGCTGCTCGTGCTAGGGAGGCACGATTTTCTGATCGAGCAGGGAAAAGCAGGCAGCTGGGCTCTCCCAGCACCTTGAGAGCTACCTGGCAGGAAAATCGAAGTCCTGCTGTGCTTCTGCAGCATCTCTTGTCCTCTGTATGATAACACCCAGCTTGCAGGGGTACGTTTGAGAGACCAGGATGAATTCTGCTGTGGGAATCATTTCCCTACCTTTACATACATGTTTTAAAGTCAAATCATTTTGTACAGACAATGCTCCATTGTTTGCTCTCTGCAAACAAACGCTCGTGTTGTACCTAACAATTTGCAGAAGTGTTGGCTTGCTTTCTTATTTTTTTTCTTTTTTTTTTTTAAGACCAACGTTAGGAAATAAATTCCAAGGGCATTCACGCAGTCCAGAACTATAACTAAAAATACTATGGCTCATCTAGCCCAACCAAATGAAGCAACATGCTGAATTTCAGACGTTTATGACCCAACCCCATTGTCAGCAAAGGGAACTAACAACAGCTGTGTTGAAAGAGCTGCTCTGGGAACGCCACGATCCAACCCCATCATCCTGTGCCTGAGAAGGGAGGAAAAGCACTACCTGCATCCTCCTGAGCAGCTCACAACCCCGCCAGCTGTCTGGGCTCTGGAAAAGCCCCCCGGCTGGGTGCTGGGGACACATTCCTACAGACACATCAGGAGGATACGATGCGAGTGGCTTTCTGCAGATCGGGACTGCTTGATAGCAAAGACCAGATTTTTTTAAATTCTGTTTTCCAGAAGCAAAAGGCAGGCCTGGCATCCGAGGGAGACTGCTCAGCCAGCTAGACCGCTCATCCAGCTAATCGTCTCTTAACATCTTCACCCAGCCGTGGATAAATACCTATTATCCCCATCATGCAGCCGGGGAGTGCATTATCCAAAATGATCAACCGACTGCCTAATTACCAGAACTCCAAATCCCTTAGTTACACAGCATTCCCTAAAACTATTTAAGCAGCACTTCAGGAAAGAGTCACCACGTGACCGTCAGGCTGCTTTAAAACCAAGCAGGACTTTTTTATCTCATCTGCACGGGGAGCGGCGAGGAAGGAGGGCAGCCCTACAGCCCAGCACCCTGCCCCGTGGGTAGGCTGGCAGCAAACTCACGTGTCTGGCAGAGCTCGGTGGTGATGGATCCTCCCTGCCTTCAGCCAAGGGGTGCGAAGCTGGGAGCAGCCCTGCTGTGCTTCAGCAGATTTGGGAAGGATCCCTCGGTGTGCTGGGCTTTAAGGGTTTTGGGGGCTGCGGTTGGTGTGCTGCTAGCACTGGTCCAGGGGGTCCTTTGTGGTGGGACGTGATCCTTACCTGCCCTCGGTCCTGTGCTGCGAGGGGCTCACCATGGCAAGGTTTCTCTCCTGATGCAGCCCCTGGTCCATCACAGCCCAGCCCCAGCCTGGGCAGGAGGTGATGCACAGTGCCCCGTGTGCTGCCAGCACCCTGCCAAGAGGGAACGGGCTGGGAACAGTCACTTTGGGGTGTGTGCAATGGTTTTCCCCATTGTAAACCAACAAATTTCCCTGTATTGATCATGCCAGTTGAGACAGGCCACAGTGGCAATAAACGTTGTCCCTACAGGGCATAGGGCAGAGCTCTTTGACTGGAAATGTGGCGTTTCCTTAGCTGGACTTGGTTTTTTAACTGAACGCTGCCTGCCAGCAGGAAGGCAGCAAGACTGTGTTGAGTTTGCCAGCATGGGACCAGCTCCTTCATGGAGCCCAGACTCCAAATCCCAAGTAGGCCATATGGAAATACAGGATATGCTGCTGCTCTGATGGGGGACTAAAGGCTGGGATATCTACTGATATGGATCATTTTGGATTGTGTTGAATTTCCCCAGCAGCATCGGCTAAAAGAACCCTTGTTGGAGGTGAGAGCAGCCCATGTCAGTAAAAAGTCATTTTTTTCCTCATCCCACAAAGCCAGGGGACTCTCCAGAACAGGGCAGGGTCTAAGGAGGAACGTTTCACCTCTCATCTCAGCAGGGACACGTGAGAGATGGGACTTGCTCATTGCAGCAAGGGCTGAGCACTGCAAGTGACAGGGTGAAAACTCACCTTAAAAAAAAAAAAATAGCAAATGCAGATTTTCAGGTATTGCTGGGTGGATCCCACAGCCAAGGGCTGCAGAAAGCAGTTTCCATCACTGTGGATTGCAAGCATCAGCAGTCTGCTACTGAAGGTCACTCCTTCCCTTGCAACACGTCTGCCTCTGCACGGGTGCAGGACAAGCCCCAAAAACACCTACTTTAATGGGGTTTGGTTTGGTTTTGCTCGAGGCGTGGCTTCATCTGTCAGCAGCTCAGTGAACCAGCCTCAGTCATCCTACAGCCAACACCGTCACTGGCCTGCAGCCAGAGGGGCAGCAGGGACGGGCAGCAGGAGGGGACGGGGGGTGTTCTCCATTGCTTGCCTGCACTTGGAGTGGGTCAAAATAACACGGAACTGCACCCTTGGGTGACCAAGTCCCAATTTCAGAGGTGTCCAAATGACCAGGGAGCAAAGTCCCGTTGGTTTTCAGTTTGAAAGGCAAACATAGCAAAATCTTTAAAATATTTGGACTCACAAAGAAACTTAGGGTGTTCAGTGCTGTGAGATTGGGGGAGCGAGGGCTGCAGGGCACACGACAGCACGGGGGCACCAGCCTTCCCTCCGGCCACTTTGCAGCCTGGGGGGCTGCAGAGAGAACACAGCCACGGAAACACACTTGCTACGTTTATTGCATGCAGAAGAATGACCCAACCTGAAAACACTCTGCCTCTCCCCCCCCTTCTGGGCACGACCACGTTTCACCTACTGCCAGAAGAAGTTCTTGCAAGCAAACCCCCTCTGCAGTCACAGCATCGCCTGGGGGCGGCGGGGGCCACGCGTGCCCAGGTCCTTTCCACGATCACGTTTTTGTTTTTTTTTTCTCCCTCGCACGGCCAAGCTGCGCTGGGAAGCAGGGATAGCTAAGACAGAAGAATATGCAGCCCTAAATGCTAGACGCTCCGTTCCCGTGATCGCTGCTGTGGGGAGAGGTGTTTCGAAGGGATGAACTCCAGAAGGAACCGGGTCCGGCGCTCGCCTGAATCCATTCAGTGCCTGAACCGTGAGAGCTTGGGGGAGCGGCTCGCCTGGTGGTAGGGCTGGTAGCCCTCCGAGGCGGCCGGGAGCAGCAGGAGGCTGCCCAGCGAATCCTTCTGGCAGAGAGCCATGGCCTCCTTGTAGTTTATCTTCTCCTTCGTGACGGGGTCAATGAGATCTTTCTCGTAGTTGGACTCATCCTGGAGCCTGTTGGCCAGGTCGCCCGTTATCATCCCTGTCTGGGCGGCTTCCAGCACAGGGATGCGACCGGTTTTCTTGGGATCGATGAGTCCTCCGGTTAGGTGCTGGACCTCCAAGTAGGGGAAGGCGCTGTCCCTGGTCATCCATCCCTTCTGGACCGCTTCCCCCACCGACAGCCTTCGCTTGGTCACCGGGTCCTCGATCCCCGTGAAGGCTTTTTGGGCATTGAGCAGTCTCTGCATGTAGGTCCTGTCGATCAGCCCCCTCTCGATGGCCTTGTGGACTGACAACCGGTCCCGAGAAATGAGGTCTATGATGCCCCCCGTGGCAGCCTGGGCTTCCAGAAGCTTCTGAGCCGTCATGGGATCAAGCAGCTTCTTCGCCACAGCGGTCTTGATGTTGTACTTGGTGTCAGTGGTGGTGTCGTACACCCCGGCGATGGGGCACGTGTCATCACAGAAGCCCTTCTGCGAGGGGAAGAAGTTTTGGGTTTGGTGGGTGGTGGGTGACTGCAGCGGGGATTTGGAGATGATGGAGCCGATGGAAAGGGACGACGGAGGCTTGGATTCCCCGGCCACCAGCAAGGCGAACTCCGAGATGGGGATCTTGCCGTCCCGGTACAGCTGGTACTCCTCCTTGGTGATCCTCCTCAGCCTCAGCGCGTCGTCGATGGAGTACTGCTTCCCGCTCTTCTTGTCCAGGAGAACCGAGACCTCCCCGTTGGGGCCCAGGGTGGTGACTTCCTCCCAGTCACACTCCAGCTCCTGCAGCTGGATGTACTGGCCTCTGTCTATGATACCTCTCTTATAGGCTTCGTAAGGGGACATATCCTTCCCTGTCTCGGGGTCCAGGATGGAGATCTTGGTGGAGAGGTTCGTCTCTCTCATCTGGGTCTCGTGATTGATTTCTTCCCGGCTCACCCTCGACTGGAGATCTCGGATGAACCTCTCCTTGTTGTAGATCTGGTCCTTCTCCCTCAGGATGTCTGCCTCCAGCAGGGAAAACTCATGCTCCAGCTGCTTCTTCTTCTGCCTGTCGCTCTCAGTCCGCTGGTTGAGCAGTTTGGACTCCTCCCGCAGGAAAAGGACTTTCTGCTGCTTCTGCCTCTCCAGCTCCCGCAGCTCGCTCTCCAGGTTGGCTCTCTCCTGGATGGCCAGGTTCCTGGCCTTCTGCAGCTCCGTCTCCTCGCGAGCCCACGTCCTCTTCATGCCTTCAGCTCTCTCAATCTTCTCCCTGAGCCTCCGCACCTCCTCTTCAGCCTTTTGCTTGGCCCCTCTCTCCCTGTTCAGCAGCTCCCAGATGCGTGCGCGCTCACTCTCCAGTGCTCTGTCCTTCTCCACACGAATCACCTCCTTGTAGATGGTCTTCTCCTGGGATTTTGTTTTCTGCAGGACGTCAATTTGCATCTGCAGGTTCTTGCACTCCCTCTGCAGGTTCAGCACCTCCATCTTCTCCCGGTCCAGCTCCAGGCGCAGGTTGCTGGCAGACTGCTCGAGGACTGGGTCCTTCTCCAGCTTTACCACCTCTTCCATAATGATCTTTTCTTGCACCGGGGCTGGGCTCTCCTCCAGCTCCTTTATCCTCAAGGTAATTTGCCTCATGTCTTTTTCCAGCGCAAGCCTCTTGCTTCGATCCTCCTGAAAGTTGAGCATCTTCTCTTGCTCTTCCACCAGCGCACGAAGCTGCTGCACGTCCCGTTCCATGCGGCGCCTGTTGCTCACCTCCTCGTCCAGGCTCCGGCTCAGCCTGTTGTGCTCATCTCGGAGCTTTGGATCCTTCTGAGTCAGAATCACCTCTTGGACGATGACCTTTTCCTCCGGCTTCCTCCTCTCCAGGAGCATGTATTTATTCTGCAGGTCGTAGATAGCGTCCTCTGCAGCTCTCCTTTTTTGAGACATGTTGCGCACTTCTTGGCGCAGGCGGTCAGCTTCTTTTTCCAAGAGTGGGTCATTCTCGTATCGGATGACTTCCTTGTTGACCAGCTTGGTTTCCACCTTGGATCTCTCCCTCTTCCACTCGTCCCTTTCACCCTGCAGCCTAATGAGCTGCTCCTGGGTCCTGCCGTTGGTGTTCACTAGTTCGTTCAGCTGTTCTTTGAGCCTGTCAATTTCTCTAAGAATTTCTGGACTCTTCTCGTGTTTCACCACCTCCTCTATGACCTCCTTCAGCTCCACCACTGGTTTCTGTGACCTGAGGACGTTGAGCTCTGCTAAGGCCTCTTCCACTTCGCTGTCAATCTTTGTCCTTTTCAGGGTAACTTCCTGCAGCTCTCTTTTCAGGTGAGCAATTTCCTGCTCTGTTTCAGGATCCACCAGGAAAATCTCATTGACCCTCTCTTTAACTTCTACCCTGGGTTTTTGCTTCTCTGCAATACTGTACTGGCTTTGCAGCTCTCCCAGCTCTCCTGTAAGCATTAGGTTCTTGCTCCTCTCTTCTTCAATTAGGTTTTTAAGCTTGGTAGACTCTTTCAATAACTCTGGGTCCTGCTCTACCTGCTTCACCTCCTTCACGATAATTTTGGGCTCTGCTGTTTCAATTAGTCTTTCCACTTCCTCAATCTTATTCTTCACCTTCACTATCGCTTCCTCTGCGGACTGTCTCTTGAAGGATTCCTCGTCAATTTGTAGCTGCAGGGTCCTAACGGACTTCAGCATTTCTGGGTTTTTCTCCAGTTTGATCAGCTCCTTCACCACCACTTTCTCTCGGATGTTGGGCTGCTTTCGCTCTAGCTGATGCAGCTCTCTCTTACGCTGCTCGAGTTCAGAAGCAGCAGCCAAGCTTTCCTCCTGGAGACGCTTGATCTCCTGGCGGAGACTGGCTGCTTGGCTATCCAGACTCGGATCTTTTTCAATTTTTGTTATCTCTTTGGTGAGGAGCTGGGCAGGAATGGCCTTCTTCTCGTTCTCCATCTGCGCAAGCTTCTGGTTCATCGCTTCAATGTCTTCTTGCAGGTTCAGCCTCTTTTTGCCTTCCTCTTCAATCTGCTGTGTCATCCTAGACAGGTTGCTCTCCAGCTGTGGGTCTCTGTAGTATTCTACCACCTCCTTTTCTTCCACTCTTTCAACAGGCCTCTGAGTCTTCAACATTAGCAACTTGCTCCTGTGTTGCTCCAGGTCCTCTTCTATCTTGGCCACTTTTCTCCTTTCCTCCTCCAGCTGTGTTTTCAGCCCCTCAGATTCCCTGCTCGACACGGCTTTGTTTTCAGACTGCTGGGTTTGCTCCTGTACAACCTGAATGTCCTCGTGCACTTCCTTCTGCAAGGAGAAAACAAAAAAGAATTTAAATAAAAATAATACCCAGGGAAACCAACTCACTCTCTGAATCAAGCACGGAAGCCTTTTTTTTATGACAAGACATGGCCAGATGAGGCTGTCTGTAAATGACAGATGAGGACACATTCACACCATCTCAAGCAACTGATGTCTTAAAGAGTTCCCACCTGTCAGGGGGATGCTGCAGCAGCAGCCCACAGAGGTGCTTTGTGCTGCGGGAGGATAACCTGGCCAGTTCGTGCTGCGCAGCGTGGTGATGGTAACAGCACAGAGCTCCCCCATTTAATCTCCTGTCCTTCACGAGCACACTGAACAGAAGCCATCCAGACTGGAGAACTGCCCTACAGGTGAATTAAGCCCTAGAAAGGCATAAAAATCCTACTGCCTGGAAGTAAATCCAATTTGTGTGTAAGCACAAATTTCCAGCCGCATTCACAGATGAATCTGAAATTCTCAACCCATGAACATTGAATAGGCATGGCTGAAAACAGGAGTTAAGATTTCTAATTTAAGTTTGTTTGTTTTTCCCTAGCAAAGACTACAGCTTCAATTAGAGTTAAGGGCCCACAGAAGTGACAAATGTCACAAGCTGAGATCAGCATCAGTGAAACTGTTGTTACTTTTAGTCTTTGCTCAGTGGTTTCCATTCCTGTCCTTCTTAACACCTAGATGTGGAGACCTGGAGAGAGGTGGAGGAGTCCCAGGCTGAGCAAATGGTGACAGCGTTGGAAAGATCATTTCCAACCCCGATCTAGAGTACCCCAACCCTGCCACAAGCTCTTAGCTGGTACCTTCTCAGCAATCTTCTTGGCAAACTCCAGCCAGCGGAGCCGCTGTTTATTTTCTGCTGCCAGCTCCATGTAGAGCTTGGTTACATCATTTTCCTGAAAAAGAAACAGCCGTGAGAGCCTTGTCCCACTCACCCTAGCACAGCCCTGTTGGGTGCTTTTTATTCCCTTTTTATTCCAATACCAAGTTATACACGAATCTCAGGAGATGTACAGCAAAACAGCAGTGATCTACGCTATTCTTGCTGATGCCAAACACAGAGAATGTGCAAATAAAAGGTTTGGAGGGGACCATCAAATTTGTGTTCATCGACAGATGTCTGTGTAAGCCCACACACCCACACTGTAACATTTATCTTCACGCACAATGTATTAAGAAGGCATCAGCAGCAATCTCAGCCAAAGGTACCAGAAACATTGCTAATTCCTGATCTTACTTGCTGCTATGCCCCATAGACAAAGAACTCACTGATGATATTTGTCCTTGGGCTTAGAATAACGATCAACTGCTGCTGTAAGAGTGGATTAAGGCCTTGCAGAGCACACAGGGCTTGGGTAAGGAGCTAGAAAATATTTTCCATGCCTTTATCTTAACATTTTACCTGGGCCTGGATGCTTTCTTGCAGTGGGGTCACACGCAGCCTCTTTGCAGCGAAGTCTGTCAGGGTAGGGTCCAGAGAAGAGCTGTATTTGCCTGCTTGGAGTTCATAGTCCTGTTCAGAGCAGAAATAGAAGAATCAGCTGGGATCTCTCAGGTGAAATGACGATAAGGGAGTGTTACACGGGAAAACCCAGCCATACATTGAGTGTGGACTGCACGTTCCGGGACTGTCTGACCACTGCGTTCTTCTCGGGCTCCTTGCTTTCGATCTCCTCCACCAGCCTCTGCAGGAGAGATGTGTGATAAGAATCAGTTGGAACAGCAGCCAGAGACCCCCACATCTCATCGCCCGAGCTAGTCAGCTTAGGATCTGCTCAAGGAGAGAAAGATGAAGGGCCAAGGTACAACATCTCAGCCCTAGGTAGCATTTTAGATGCTATCTTTCAGGAGCTGCATGTGCCCTCTCTGTGCAGAGGGTATCAACCTGGGGGTGACTACCACAGAAGAGAACACCAGCGCTGTAGATGAACACAGCTGGGCAAGATAAATCATCTGTGTGCTGCAAGCCATTGTCTCCTTTTTCCAGCTCATTCACTGGGGCAGGTGCAGCGCACAGCTAGGAGCTGGGTGCTACCACTTGCCGTGCCATTCAGAAAAGCAAACTCCTCCCGTGCTTGTAACATTACAGGTCGTGGTGCTTGCCCTGGAACACACCTTCTGTGCCTGCAGCTTGTAATTGATCTGGCTTGGCCCATCCGTGGTCTTCACTTGGTGCTTGGGTAAGTTGTTCATCCAGAACATCAGGTTCTCATTGGAGTTTTGGAACTGCTGGTAGGTGAGGCTGATATTTCGGAGCGTCTTCTCTCTGCACGGCACAGAGGTAAACACAGGAACATTAAGGGCAAGGGTAAAGATGCACGTGCGGGTTCCTAAAAATACACCATGGCGAATTTCACCACAACAAGGGTGATGTTCCTCACCTCTGGTCCAGCTGGTCTGCCACGGCGTGGTAGCGATCGTTGAGGAGCTGCACCTCCCGCTTCTGCCGGGGCAGGTCAGGGCAGTACTCCTGGAAATTGTTCTGCACGGCGCTGCAGCTGTGCTCAGTGTCCTTCAGCCCTCGGTTGAGCTTCAGCACACACTCCTCTTGGGCCACCAGGTCTCGTTTCATCTTCTGCAGGGGAACGAGACGCCTCCAGGTTTGCACCAGTCCGTGCCCCAAAAACCTCCTCAGCACCATCCCTCAGCCTGCAGCACCTGGGGGCTAGCCAGGCTCTCCAGGACACACACACAAGGTGGAAGAGGTGGAGCAGTGAGGCTTGGTCAGCAAAGAAGGTGGGAAGCAAGGTGGGTTAGATGAAGCATGGAGCAGAAAGGAGAAGTCCTGGGGAAGGCAAAAAAGGGACACTGCAAGTCAAGGGTGGGAACTAATGTTGGAGCAGGGAGATTGGGAGCAGGATGGGTAGGGGGCAAAGTAATGGACAACACGCAGGAGAAAGGGCAGGCAGGTTAGATGCTAAGGGGTTCATCGTGGATTTTAAGGACCACAAATGTAGTCTGGGAGGGACAGAGCTTTTTGCAGTGAAGCGAGTGTAGGTCAGCCTACAAAGCCAACACAGAGCCCTCCAGGAATAAATCCTTAGAAGGGTTCCATCACCAGTGCCTCAAAGTCCAGCTCTCCCCACAAGTGCTGGCTGAGCTCACTGATTTCCCCTCCCTAACAAAGAGCCCAACATTTCCCTACCTGCAGGTCATTGGCCCGATCCTGCAGGGCATTGGGGGACGCAGGAATGATGCTGTCCTGAGCCAGCTTGGCCTCAAACGTGCTGATGACCTTGTCTGCGTTCTCAATCTGCGTCTCCAGGTTCAGGGCAGCCTTAGCCCTGGGGAAGGGAAAAATGACACAAGGTTAGCTGCAGAAGATCCCGTTCTTTCCCTCTTCTCTCTGATTCTGCATGTTTAAGCTTATTTAATAACAAAGCATGGCAGGGAACAAGCAATACGCACTCACAACCCCGCTCTGCTGCCCACACAGATGCGTTGCACTTCCCTGCACACAGCAGGGCTGGGACACGCACCCGTTGTGGTGGGCTTCCCGTGCCTGGGGGGGGGACTGAGCACACATTACACACACAGAAAATCCTGCGGGGATGCCTCTGATGATGCACGGAAGCTTCCCAACCTCAATGCCCACACAGGCCGCGTGCATTTTCTCTCAAGGCCTCGTGCTGACCCATCTGCGCGGCATCTCGCCCCCCCTCATCCCCTCCAGGCCTTGCCACCGCCACTCACTTCTCGTTGTACAGGCTGGAGAGCATCTTGACATCGCTGTACTTGCTCCTGAGGGCGTTCAGCGTGACAGGCAGCTGGGAGGCCGAGGTGCTGGTGGGTTTCTTGGAAAGGAAGGTCTCACACTCCTTCTGCAAGGCATCCTTGGCTGCCCCCAGGGTCTCAAGTTTCTTTGTTGTTTCCTGGCACATCAGATGGGAGCAGAGTCACCCAACGTAGTCATAACAGGGCTGTTGCGAAAAGGTGCCTCCCTCAGGGGTGGATTTTGCTGTGGGGCTAAGGGTGCGGTGGAGCCCTCTCATGAGGTGCCATCCCTCGGGGCACAGCCCCAGCCAGACGGTGGCTGTCTGGGGATGGCAGGGTGCGGGGAAGGAAGGTGGAAGAGAGCTACCTGAGCTCATCCTCCTGCCAGGGATGGGTAAATACCCGTGGATGAAGACGCAACACGTTGGATTGCTACGGACCAGACCTTCTCCAAGAGAAAAGGAAGGGGGCTGCAGGGCACTGTGTCTTTTCCTGCCCCCTTCACATCTACCAGGGGAACCAAAGCCGGCCCTTGGATGAATTCCTTTTCTCCTGTTGTCTTTCATGCTACAGACTTGAGTGAATGGTGACGGCATCCCCACGACAGGGTAGGGAACTTGGAAGGGGACACAAAGGGGACACCTTGCTGCAGAGCTGAGCCAAGGGAAGGGGCCGCATTCCTCTAGGGTCTGTCTTAACCAGCCCCACTCCAAGGGCTCAAAGCAGCCCCAAACCCCTGAAACTGCAGCAAGGTTTTCTCCCCCAGAGCACCAGCCGTGTAATTCCCCTCTCAGCTCTGTTTTTGGGTACCAGTCACGGTGCTGCCATGCTCATCCTGCTCCAGCCTGCCCGCTGCAGCGCCCACCTGCTGGTGTTTGATCCTCCTGGCAAGGTCGTCTGTGGGGTCGCTGTAGCTCACTGGAGACCTCACTCGGTTCAGGACCTCCTTCTCCACCTGGACCAGGTCCTTGCCAACACGATCCAGGCTACCGAGGAGCTGATCGGCTTGGGGATCATCCTGGACTACCGGGGGGCTCCTGGGCAGAGCTGCAGTGAGAGACAGCTTGGGTTAAGTCCCCTTTCTCATCTGTCAGTCTTGGTACACATCTGGTTCCCTGGGCTCAAGAACTCAAGGACCCAGACCCCAAGGATTTAATTAAGGCTTCTGGATAGGCACATCCCCACCTATCCCTAAATACTCTGCAACTACTGATGGAGCGAAGGTCAGTCTCAGGGGTTTGGAATGGCAGCAGGGAGCTGAAGTGAATTCCCCTGGCAGCACCACGACTTGGGTTCCCCCTTCCCTGCTCTTTTCAGGATGTAAGGCACCCTAATGCCGACCCGCAGGCTGCACCAGCCAGCTCTGCAGCGGGCTCGGCCCCCCGAGCAGACGTACCCTGCTGGCTGAGCTGCACCGTCTCCTTGTGGCTGTGTCTCAGGGTGCTCTGAGCTGCTGCTCGCTTCTGCTTCACCGCGCTCAGCTCCCCCTCCAGCCTGCAAGCAAGGAGAAGCCACATCAGCCGGCAGGTTGGGAAACCACAGCACGGGGCAAGCTCCAGCAGAGCCTGACCCGGCGCAGCCTGGGAGCTTGCAGCCTTTTGCAGCTCAGAGAGATCCCTCAAGAAGGGGAAAGCAACAAGAGTTGGTTTGATTAGCTAATTTCTCCCAGTGGAGCCAGTGTTTCCCGGCTCTCGCCAGAAGCCAACAAAGCTGGAAATGCAGTTCACATCACTGCAGCGCTTGGCAGGAGCTGCTTCTGTGGCTGCTGATCTGGAAGTCCGAGTCTCGCCTAGCTGTGGTCAGAAGAGCCCCTGCAGAGGGACTAAGGATGAGAAATAAGACAAATGTTTGTTTGTTGTTGTTTTTTTTTCAGGAAGAGAAGTAAACACTGGGAAATGAAGCACGGTGCCAGGTGCAGCCTGAAAAGGACCGGAGCTTCAGGGCAATACCAGCAGAGCTGATAGCTGGGAGGATGTTGCTAAGTTGTCCTTTTCTGTTTTAAAACAGGCATGAAGTCCATGAATCCGAAGAATTTGGTAACATGGGATGTGTGCAGAGGGATTTTTGCTCAGCAAGAGCAACACAACACAAAAGTCACGCCTGAATGCCTTGGGAACAAAACTCCCATCACAAGCATGCCTGGTGATGCTGGATTCAGGCTGTGGGCAAAGTTTTGGCAGCACACAAGCAGTGCTGGTTTATCTAAGCACCTGGGGACATGATAAAAATGGAATGCCGAAAGCTCATTGCATTATCATCCCCCCCCGTCTGTGGGAACCTCCAAAACCGACCGAGCAAACAGGCAGCAAAGTGCACGGTGGTTCGAGGAATGTTTTCCAGTCTCCAGCCGGGGCTGGCGGAGAGGAGATAGCACAGATAATTCCGTCCTGTTTGGCAAGTCCCAAGCTCCAGACTGATTCTGCAATGAATTTAGTCAAACCTATGCAAGTCACATGTTTGGGTGAAGAAATCAAGCCCGTCTGCCAGAAAGCTCTTTGACTGCAAGATGGGAACGGTGTGCAATGCTGGTGAAGGATGGCAGGAAAATGGACAAGGCACTGGGGCACAGGGAACAACCCCTCTGCAACAGGACAACCAGGAGGTATTTCATGCGAGCTGATCAATGGCTCTGCTCCCAGCTGCTCTTTGCAGTTTAGGCAGTCAGGGGATGGCGAGGACCAAGGAGCAAGCCTGAATGTGTCTCTGGGTCAGGCTCTACGTGGCAAACTCACCTGTTGACCTTGTCAATGGACTCGGGGTCTGGCGGAGGGATGGAGAAGCAAGCAGCAGGTGCCTCCTGGACCACGCCAGCGCTGCTCTGCACCACCCACATCTCGGGGTTGCTGTTGTCCTTCAGGATGTACTTGTCACCTCTGGTCAGCTGCACCTGGGACAGACACAAAACCCACAGGCTTGGCTTTCCAGTGCTAGCCCAGGTCCTCCCGCCAGGGGAGGAAGATCTGGAGCACCCAGAGAAGAATCTGGATGCCTGCTGCTTTGGAGGGTACCACTAGCCAAGCCCTCACCTCCCCAGCATCCCAGTCACACAGCGTGTCCAAGGAGAGGGGCTGGGAGGGACGCATCCTGCGCAGTTTCAGCGGGCTGATCTCTTTGCTCCTCCTCTTCAGGTCAGCGATGCTCTTCTCTGCCTGCTTCACTGCCTTCTCCTCGTTCTAGACAAAGCAGGGAAGACAGGGGTTATAACCAGGCTTGGATGAGGAGAGGGGGGGGAGGTCACACTGCCATGGGTGTTTTGGGGCCAGTTGTCTGTCCTTGCACTGTCATTTCTAGGTTGGAGTCAGGAGTTTCTTCATTCTTGACCCATCCGTGTCCCTTCCTGTCCCTCTGCTATTAACACTCTCCTCTGTTTTCTTCGCTCACAGGAGATCTGCCCTTGAAGGGACAGCCTGCATTAACCTCAGGTGATCCCAAAGTGTCATATTGAATCTCCTGGGGAAGTTTTTCCTTCTCAGATGAGGAGCAGAGACCTGCCAAGAGGTGGCTGCATTCCAGTGTCAGAAGTTACCGAGATCCCAGCACCTCCTGGCAGTGAAAGGTATGGGAAGACACCGCACCGAATGCGTCCCTTCCCTCTCTCCCGGGCAAACCTTCCTTCCCAACCTGTATCTCGCCCCCGAGGTCAGATTTCTCGATTCCCTCCTCGCTCTTGACTCATGGCAGAGCTGAGGAGATGGCAGGACCTCTCCCTGCTGCTTGGGTGCCAGCAGCTCCCGCTCTCTGCAGGCCCTCTCACCCAAATTCCTCACGTTTAGGACAACACAGCTCCTCCCTGCGCCTCTCCTGTACTCTGATAGCGCCCTGGGGCTTGGATACGTGTCCCTGGTGGAGACCCCAGGGGTCACTGCCCTACTGCAGGAGCAGCGAGGCCCTTCTGGGACCACAGGGATCCATCACAGTACTGCCATGGGCCTTCCCCTCCTGGCACAGAGGCAGGACGAGCTGTCCCAGGGGGTTATTTACCCACCTCTTCCCCTTTCCCACACTTATTTATGGGGACAACTGTCAGAGTTGGTCTGTGCTCGAGACACAAGATCCCCCAGGCCTGGCTGGTGCCACCAGCCCCGAAAACCTCACCTCCAGCTGAAGCAGCAGGTCTGACACCACGCCAGGGCTGTCCTTGTTGAATTTGCTGTATTTGGTGTCCAGGTCGGAGTTCATCTTCATCAGGGAGAGGCTCACAGCCTCAGCGTCATCCTGGAACTGGAGACACGGGTAGGAAAATGCTCAGAGGTGGGAGGACATTTGTGTGTCCAGGTCTGGTGGCGTGCCTCAATTCCCAGCCACTCTCCCACAACCTGGGGCTCACCAAACCCTACAGACCACCTCAGAGCGTGACCTCGGGCACGGACTGCACCACAGAAATATCTGTGAGTAGACACGTACCAGGTAACAAGGGTGAGCAAACCCTCCCCTGCACCTCCAAGCCAGCGCACCAACTGGTCCCAGCAGCAGGGCTGGGAGCCCATCGTTCACTGACCACATTTTGAGAGGTGTTTCCCCAAAATACCCTGACCAGCTGCAAATAAAATACCCTGACAAAGCAAGGGATCCCATCCTGATCCCTTTGCTGGCTCTGTTCCCGTGCACAGCCTGCCTGCTCCTCGCTGCTTTTTACCTTCTTATAGTTCTCCACGCTCTTCAGCTGGCTCTCCTGGCAAATGCAGAGATTCAGAAAATTCTGCCACTCGTTCTTCAAGGCTTCCTGGTGAGCCTGTGGTGGGAGAAAGCACGACTCAGTGGGCTCCAGCTGGTCCCACCTGCCTCACACCCCTGGCCTCCCTTCTCCAGGAGTCCCGGAGGTCAGAGGAGGGGTAAAGACCGCTGCTGAGCAGCAGCAGAGCTATTCCCAGGCATTGCCAGATCCTAAATCTGAGCAAGGACACTGGCTCTTGGAGCACAGGTTACGTAAAACATTCTCGTTCTCTCGTAGGGAATCCCCCACCCCCTTTCCCCACCTGGATGGGTTTGACAGCCGGGTGCTTTAGTTCAATCATTCTGTCCCCATCATCCTGAAGGTTGTTCACAAACTCCTCCTGGCTGAGCAGCTCTTTGGACTTGAAATCCTGCAGGGGAAGAGACACCTCATGGCAGCGGGAGCACGGAGCAGCCTCCTGGGCCACCAAACCCCACGCAGCAGAGAACAGGCTCCCAAAACACAGACAGCTGTTTTGGTTTGCCCTTTATTATTATTATTTTTTTTAATAGGAAGGCACTAGGCATAACTCAAACAAATTAGGCACGCTTGGGCCTATGGAAGCATCAGGGCATTTGTTCAAGGTGCATTTTCCTAGGCAATTAACTCAGTTCTTCCTGGTCCCGGCAGAAAGCAGTCACTGGGTGTTGTACTTTGGACACTGAGGCTCACACGACGCCAGACCTCTCCCTCCCCTCTGCCCACTGACAGCTCTGCACCCAGCATCAGGCAGCGCTGTCACGTACGATCCCATGTGCCAGCTCAGGGGACAGGAGGGGACACACGGCGTGGCTCAACCCCAACCCTGCTTCCTTCCAGAGCATCTCTTCTGCCTCCACTGCTGTGCCCAGCCCTGTTGGGCTGCCTTGGGAAGCCACCAGGCTCCGGCCAGCCCGTGAGAGCTGCCATCCCCAGGAGCTCACCTCGTACTCCCGCCGCACGCTCTGGACGTCCAACATTTGGTCGCTCCAGTCCTGCTTCAGGATCCTGGTCTGCTGCTCCGTGAGGTAGCCCAGCTCCTTGGTGCAGCCCTGGAGGTGGTGGTACAGGCTGCCCAGGCTCTGCCCGCGCCAGATGGAAGCTTTCTGCCCGTGCACAGAGGAAAGAGACAGTGTCAGGGCTCAGGCTGCGGAGCCTTCCCCTTCTGCTCCCCCTGCGCACCCCCTAGGAGATTCCCAGAGCCCTGGCTGAGACATCGCTGCCACTCGTTCTTATCTGATGGGGCCTTTCCCTGCCTCACAAACAGGATGTGTTTGTCTAACCAGACTCTCAGGTGTGGGCTGATGCCTCAGGCAGTCTGAGAGCAGGCCCAGCTCCGCTGTATTTCTCACCAAAGGCGTTCTCCAGCCCTGAACTTAGGGACCCAGCCGGCTAAACCCAACACCTTCTTCCTGGCCACCTCCTTTGTTGCAGTTGGTCATTTCCTCCCTGCAGTCCTTGTTAAGGATCAGCACAAGCCTCAGCATTTGCAATCCCACAGGAACATCCTGCGGGCTGGGACGGGGTTTTCTGCACAGAGGCACCTCCCAGACCAATGACCCACAAAGAGAAGAGGCGCAGACCTCACCCACAGCATGCCCCCGTTCGCAGCTTGCACCCAGTCCGAGGTGGGGAGGAGATGGGGAAAGAAAATGAGGGACGTGACTTCACCGTGCAACACCAAAGGTAGCTCCTGCCCTGACCCAGGCATTCCCTGCCCACTAGGAAAGGAATTACTTTGCTGTGTGGCCCCAGAAAACCACCAAGAAGCTTACCAGCAAGTCCTTGTATTGACTCTTCAAATCTGCCACATCCTGGGTTATTACACAGCCAAGATCAAGAGGGGAAAAAAAAAATTGTTACCAAAATACCAGCGGTGATAGATGTTGTCAAGCTAATTTACGGAACGTGCTTTAGAAATTGTACAGGAACCACCTCCTGCCTGGCTCTGCCCGAGCTCAGGTGTCCCCATGCCCCCTGCAGAAGGAGGGTGGGTGTTCACCGTGGGCACGCAGGACAGGGGCAGGACAAGGAGGGGATTGAGGGGTGCCTTACCCCGCAGCGGATGTTCTTGATCTGGAGGCCGTAGGCTTCGATCTCCTTCTGGAGGATGTTGTGCTCAGCTATTTGCTTCTCCAGCTCCGATATGCCAGGGCCGTACTGTCCCGCGTTGACTTGTTTCTGTGCAAAAGGAGTTAGGCAGAGACTAGAGCAAAATCCCGTGTATCAGGGAGAAACCACAGCATGTGCTGGCAGGGTTGGAAAGATCTGATACCACCCCAGGAGGAAGGGAGGGGATTTGTTGCTGCTTGCCATGATTACTGAGGGCTGCCACTTCCCCAGCCGTGCAGAGGGGCAGAGATAAGCAGGCCATGTACCCCAGCGTCCAAATCTAGGCTAAACCAGCCACTTCCCATGGTGATGTGCAGTGGGTGTGCTTAATTACCATCTGGTTTTCAAGGGAATCTAAATTGCCTCCAAACGGGGCACTTTGCACCCAAGACCTTGCAGCGTGAAACCCCTAGGACATATGGCTGTGAAGTCCTTGGAGACGTCACCTTCTCCATCCTTTTATTGGGGCATCTCTACTTAATCCCCCTCTGGCAGCTCTTAATCTCAGTGGGTCAATGCAGAAGGTCCTCCTGAGGCTTTTAAGACGTGGAAGGAGAGCCCTTCCTCCTGCCCAGCTCGACTGAATTAGCTCCACCACCAACCCACACCGCTCCTGCACGATGCTGAGCGCACGACGGTTGGCAGAGCCCTCAAGGCAACGTCTGGCCTTGCAGGAGTGGGGAGAAACACGTAAAAACCAGCTGCTGTTACCATCTTTTGGTCCAGGATCTTCGCCCAGTCCACCCTGGGCCCCACGTCAGGGATGTTCAGCTTCTCGTAGAGGGCCCGGTACTCCGCACACAGCTGCGTCGTGCGGTCGTGGAGCTGCTGGATGCTGCCGGGGACAAAAGGCAGATTTCAGCCATAAAACCCAGGCTACTTTCTCATCCCTTCATGCCACTGGCCTCCTTCAGCAGAGGCACTTGCCCTGGGGTTCTCCATCCCCCAGGAATTACAACCCAGGAGAAAGCTGGGAAGAGCTGCACGGAGGTCAGGGCTGTCCCTTCCCAGCTAGGAAATAATTCTCCCCTCCCCATTTCCACCTAGAGGGGCTGGAGACAGAAGGGGAGCCAAGCCCCAGGTGCCAGCTGAAGACCTCACACCTGAACACCCACCTCTGATTCTCTCTGCTTGCCCGAGGACAGGTTTCCATTTCACGAGAGGCAGAGGAAAGGGGGATTTGCCTCGGGCATGGGGAGCCCGGGAGCGGGGCCGCCTTTTAGCTCTGCATTTTTCTGGCAGCTTTTACACGAGCCCCCTGACAGGACCGGGGGTCTCCTGGGAGATGGCTCTGGCAGGCCCACAGCGCACAACATCTTTACAACATGTTGGCCAAAGCCCTGATTTTAAGGCTGATGGGTGAAGCTCTGCCTTTTCATGGCATCGACCGGAGCTCAGCCTAGATCCCAGCTCTGGGATGGGGGCTCCCGATCCCCCCAGCTCCCCCCCTGCACTCACTCTTTCTCTATCTCGGTAGCCTGAGGGTGCTTCAGCCGCTTGGCACGGTCCACGTCCAGGAAGAGATCCTTCAGCAGGGTCTCTGCCTCCTTCAGGTTCCGGGCATTCTCCGCCTGGAACTCGAAGGCCTTATTCTTCTGCTGATTGCTGACATCCTGGGGACCAGGGAAGACAGAGAGGAAAAAAAAAACTTGGACCACAGAGACCTCACAACACGGACGGCCTCGATGCTCAGCACACCCACCACGGAGGAGCCCAGTGCCAGGGGATGGCTGGGGAGCATCCCAACCAGCCAGGGACCAGCATGGGACAGGCTGGCTGCCCCCGTGGGGCTGCCGGGAGCCACCAGGCTGGGACGTGGCACTGCAGAGGTAGCTGGTGCAGCGCCCCGAGGCTACGCCAAGGGTAACATTTCGGAGGCCCTGGCACGCAGCCCCAGGGGCTGGGAGGCTCTGCAGGGTGCCTGGTTCCTCCCCAGCCCCGGGTCAGCCCCCAGCCCTGCTCCAGCAAGCTGCTGTGCAGAGCAGACCCCTCATCTGTTATTCTAGACGCTGCATCTCTAGGCAAAGCCTTTCACCTTCCCTCCGCCACATCTCACCTGCGTGAGCCTCGCCTGCGTCTCCAGGATGTCCTTCTCCACCTGGTCGGCGTTCGTCTGCATGCGGGTGATGAGCACGGCCAGATCATTTGTGGAGGACCTGAGGGTGGGAGCAGCGAAGCAGAGGGTGGGCGAGGGCAAATCTCACCCCCCCTTCATCACCGCCCAGGGCCTGATAACAGCGGTGTGATTGCAGCAGGTAGGTGGTGGAGTTTTGCCCAGCACGGCTCCTCCTTGCTGCAGGACACCGCAGATGCCCCTCCAGGCACCGTGTCGGCTGCTGCAGTCACGTTGCTTTCTGGGCTTGGGAACGAGTTTCCTAAGGCCGTAGCACAACTGCAGCCCTCCTGCACCCCAGTGGAGATTCACTGAAGGTCCCAGGGACCATCCCCTGTTGTGTCTCACCTTGCTGCCATCACATGGTACCACAATCCATCACCTTTATTACGAAAAAGCACCCAGAGCCCTGCCAAAACGGCTTCATCCAGAGCCCCCAGCAGGGCACGGGGTGGTTCCCAGCCAGGCAGCTGCAGCCCTAAAGCTCCCCGCGGCCAAGGAAGCACAAGGCTCGGTGCCACCTTTGTCCTCCTGTCCTGTGGCTTCCTGATAGCGCTGCCCTTGGGGATGGAGCTGGCCCTGGCCTCCAGGCAGGGAGGTGCAGAGCTGCCAGGGTGTGGGCGAGCAGGGGTGCGGACCCATAGCATCATCCAGGGGCTTAAGCCCGTGGGTGACTGCTGATGGGACAAAGGCCAGCAGGGGCTGAGCTCGGTTACCTGCTGGCATCTGAGACCTGAGGGGAAGAACTGGACAACAACAACGGGACCACTTGAAAACAGGGGGACACTACAGGAGCTCACGTCTTTTGAGGAGGAGGAAGGTAGGAGAGAGGTGCTGTCCTGCTGCAGAGCCACCCACATCTGCCCCCAGCAGCTCCTTTCCTTCCCGGTCCCTGCACCCAGCCAAGCTCTGCCCTTAACGGCCCCAGCAGGCTCCAGCCATTCCGTGGTTCATGCCCAAGGTGCGAGCAGGTGCTGGACATTCACTTTATTACAGCCTGGAGTGATGACAAAGTGCCCGTTAATGTTCCAGCTGCGTCCAGCCAGGCTGGTGTCAAAGTCACAGCCCGCATGGACCGTGGCCGAGCCCGTGCAGCCCCAGGGAGGTGCAGCCCAGCTGCTCTCAGCATCCTCCTCTCCCCTTTCTCCAGCTCCTCCCTTGTTTGCGATTGCCCAAGAGGGCGGCGTGGGCCTGAGACACGGCAGCTTCCAGCTCCCTCGGGAGCTTTGGGCTGGCCGTGCCCCAGCCCTCCTGCCTGCAAAGTGCACGGGGTGCCTTGCTCCTGCAGTGCCCTCCTGCACGGGGTCTAAACCCAATGGGGACAGCCCAAATAGGACACTCATCACCTGCAAAGCATCGCTGCTTGCTACAACCCCTTAAACGTCCCTCCCATCCTATCTGTGGCCCACGGATGCGTTTTCCGGGGCAAACCGCAGCGCTTTTGGCCCAAACCACACAAAAAGGGTGGGTGGGAGCAGCACAGAGCAGGGCTCGATGAACCCAAACGCACGGCCGGCTGGAGCACCAGGAGGTCCCCCCCTGCCCAGCAGCTTACACAACGTCCCACTCATCCCCGACACGCCTGGAATGAGGTGGTGTCCCATGAGCAAATACTCGAGCACCACCCAGGTTTCCTGCCCAGACTCCCTGCGCAGGGAGGAGCGACTGAGTCACGGGCTGGCTGCCGGCCCGGGGGACGGGCGCCTCTCCCAGAGCACCCCGAGACACCTGGGTGAATTCAGCTCCCACCAGGGGTGCCCGCATCAAGCCCTGCTGTGAAACAACCCCGAATTGATGCCTCTGCGCCTCTCGGAGCGGGGAGAAGCAAGGATGAAGCCTTCCCATGGAGAGGAGATGCCCAGCAAAGCTTTTTCCTACCTGCACAGCCTCCCTGGGCAAAGGACACAGCGGGATGCCCCATCCCTTGGTTCATGAGGATAAATGCAGGGAGCAGCTTGGTTCAGAGCAAGCCACAGCAAAACTACAGGCTGGAAAGACCTCAACAACCTCCCAGTCATAGGATGGGAACAAAATCTCTCCTGCTGGTCGCAAAGCAGTGGGGGCTCTGCTGTGCCCACCCCAGCCTTGGCTCTGCACAGTGCACTCGAGGTTAGAAACAGGGACACTGTTAGAAATGACCCAATGCTCAGGGAAGAAACAATACCCCCCCCAAAGAGCAGGACGGGGGGGTCTCCTCTACGTGTCTGGGAGATGCCTGTGCCCACCGCCAAGGAAGGAAGCCTGGAGGAGGAGGCTGAGAGCCTTCAGCCGGCAGCTGGGCTGGATCTCCACAGCCCTCCAAGCAGCTGAACAACCTCAGGGCCTGCAGGAGGGCAGGCTGGCTGCTTGGGGAGTGCTGAAGCTGAGGAGAAGTCCTGGGAGGTGTCTGCACACCGTCCTGGCAGCCTGCGAAGACCTGATGCACGCCTGGCCAAGTCTCAGCCATCCTCAGCTGAGACCAAGCGGGTTCCTCAGGAGGCCTCGAGTGCTTGGAGAAGGGCCCAAACCACCACAGAGCCTCCTGTCTCAAGCACAGGCCATGCTGAGAGGAAATTCAGCCTCTTCCATCCACCCGTGAGGTCTGTAGGCCATGCCACCATCCTTCGGGGCCGTCCCTCCCATCCCATGTACCAGGCCCTTCTACCCCAAGAAACCCTCACACAACGGGAGCTGACCACAGCCCAGGCCCACATTTCGGAGTGAAGATGCTGAAAATTTGGGCCACGAGGAGACAACCTGGCACGGGGCGGGATGCGAGGAGCCACGAGCTCCCCGTGCTCACGTCGGGCCCAGGCGTGGCGAGCGGCCGCAGCCACGGGCCTGCCGGGATCGCCGCGGACATTGCTCCTCCCTAGGGCTATCTCCCGCCTGGAAGAGGCAGAGCACCGTCATTATCGTCATTAATTGCTTCATTTCTCATACCACTTTCTACCTCCCGGACAGCCCGGCTGCACGCAAGGGACGGTGCCTCAGTGGGGCGGGCAGAGGACGTGTCAGGGGCACCACGGCGCCCACCCACCCCTGCACCCTGCCCCTCCTCTCCTTCCTCCCAAGGGATTTGGGCTGCAAGCGACACCCCAGGGCTGGGGCTGTGCTCCCCAACACACACAAGTCCTCGCTCTGCCCCTCCAGCCCCATCTGGTCACAGCAAACAGGTCCCCAAGCCCCTGCACCCCCTCCCTGGGACCTCACGGCTCTGGGCTGTAGAAGGAGAAGCAGAGGCAGGCGGTGGCTGAAGCGGCCACCCCAGATTTGCCAACCAGCTCCGAAGCCACCCACCCAGAGCCTTTGCAGAGTTCACACCCAGGCACCCAGTCCAGCCAGATCTGATTCGGTTCCACCTCTGCATGAATTTTCCCTTTCAGCCCTGCAGTGTGACTCTTCCCGGAGCTGGGCACAAACCCGAGGTGGTTACGGGCTCCCCGGGATGCATCCCCCGAGCAGAGGGCCCCAAGAGCTCAGCACCACCGCCCCTACAATGGAAACAAGGTCCTGCTCTGTAGGAAGCCAGGAGCTTCAAACTGGGAGCCCCAGAGGCAGGGAACCTCAGATTCTGCTGAGCCTCTGGGCCACCGAGAGCAGCCATGGGCCACCAAAGTTTTCTTGGGGCCATCTGCAGAGCACGTGCTGGTGCTGAGACAGCTCATTCACCTTCATTTTCTCAGCTCATGGTGGCAGGATGGTGCTGACCAAGCCCCAGGCTGTGGCCAAACTAATTAGCCATCATCTGATGGTCGGTGCCTCCAAAACCAAGCACGAGCAGCTCGGTCATTGCTCAGGCTCCAGCCTCCATCCCACACAAGGAAGAGGCGCAGGATTTTGCTAAGATGTGACACCCATGCAGGGAGAGAACCTGGCCCCAAATCCCCAATGGCACACCGGGGGCTGCAGTGAGCTGCCCCACAAGAAATCCCCAGCCCAGTTTAGGAAGCCAACAAGCTGCATAGGCTGGGGAGGTGGATGGCTTGCACTGGACAGACTGAAAACAAGAGGCTTGGAGCTCTGAGAGGCCCCAGGTTCTGCCTCTGCATTGAGTTTTGCGAGTGCTCAGCCCCGTTGGGGCAGAATTGTGGGGCACCAGCTTCCAGGTCACACCAGGAAACCTCAGCCTTTGCCAGGAGCCCCCTCTTCCCCAGGTCCCTGCCCAGCCAGCAGCACCGGGCCACCACCCTCCTCCTCGGCTGTTTGCGGACATTGGGTTTGGTCCCCATAATCCCAATTTGGTCCCCATGATCCCAATGCTGCCAGCACCACGCTGCGCCCACCTGGGCGGCTGCACCCGCAGCGTCCTGGGCAGCTGGTGCCGGTGGCCCCTTTTCACTGCGGGCTCCCTCCTCCTCCTCCAAGCCACCTCTTCACAGCTTTCCTGGCCTTTTACCCCGGGATTCCTGCAGAACAAGTCTGCTGACACTGGGAAATGCAAAACTGCTGAAGGAAGGTGGAAAATAACCCCGAGTTAGGACCTGCAGCACAAGGGAGGGATGAGCACGCTCTGGAAGCTCCCCGGGCAGCATCTCCTCCCCTCCTGCTCCCACATCTCCCTCCCCAGAGCAGGATGTGGCCGTCAGGTCCTTTTGGTGCTACCTCAGCCCAGCCTGAATGAGGCCAGCTCAGTGTCTCGGCCCACAGAGACCCTGCCTGTCAGCAGGATGGATGAGAGCAGCACCAGCAAACCCTTCCCTCGCCCATCCCCACCCAAGCATCCCTGTCCCGGGGTGCCCTTCCCAGGGCAGCACCCCACCAGCCTCACCCAACTCAAACCCAGGACCTCAGATCCAGGCGTCCGTCTGCCTTGCCACCGAGCCGAGCCTGCTCCACCCAAACAACGAGGTCCTGCTCGTTCTCACTGCTCCTGCCTGCCGAAAAGGGGCTCTGAGCCTCCCTACCCAATGCTCTAAGCTCACGCTCAGGCCCTGCACGTCCCGGGGGTGCACGGACACACCTGGGCTGGAGCACAAAGCCCACCAAAATTGAGGACAGCAGGGTGAGCCCTGGCTTTCTGGCTGCTCCACAAAGTGGAATATTCTTGGGGTAAACCCCAAAAGCTGCAAAGCGCTCGCGGGCATCGAGAGCCCTCCCCTCATCCCCCCTCCAGGTTCCCAGGGTGGCTTCCAGAGGGAAAAGGGGCTGCACTTACTTGCTCGGCTTGGCGGGGGAACCTCTGCTGGGGGAACTTCTGCTCGGGGAGCCTTTTCCCACCCCCTTGAACATGTCGGCGAGGTCCCGGCTGGTCTCGCGGAGGCGGCGGCGGCGCGGCGGGCGCTGGCGTCCTGCTGGGCTCTGCGGGGATGGAGAGCCGAGGCTGAGCAGGGGCAGGCGGCAGCCCTAAAGAGCCCTTTTGGGGAGGCTCCTCCCCGAGCGCAGGTGAGCAGCTGCGGAGATGGAGGCTTGAAAAAAAAAATTGACTCGAAAAACCAGTTTGGGGTGGAAAGAGCAGAGCCCCAGAGGGAGAATGGGGAGACCTCGCCCTGGCTCGTTTCGGCACTCATGGCCCCGGCCGCGCAGCAGCTCCCAGGTGAGGGGCAGAGAGCGCGGCCTCTGCAGAGCAAAAGTCTGGAAATGGGACTCGGAGGGAGATGGCTGAGACTACTGACGTGGTTTAAAACATCCTGTGTGAGCGATTTCACGTGCTGGAGAAGCAGCAGAGGTGCTAAGCTATAGATAAAGCCAACTGAGAGTTTTCCAAAGCAGCAGCAGCGGTTTGGGAGCCCCCAGTTCGCAGAATGTGATGCTTCAAATCCAGGGAGCAGGGACACTGCCCAGAGCAGGAGCAGGGAGGGAGGGCAGAGGATGGGGGAGAAAAGGACCGGGAAGAGATGGGGACCACAGCACCCACATAAACACCCACCACCCACGATGCTGGTGCAGATTTGGGGCCGTTCTTCCCCATTTCCTGCAGCCCGAGACCAACCCAAGACCAGAGGCAGAAGCCAGGGGTCTCATCACTTCCCAGATGAGCTTGTTGTCCTCATCAAATCAGCACAGAACAGATCAAACCCACCTCAGGAGAGGGGCAAAGACACGCATGGAATGAGGCTCCTTTGCAAGGGGCTCCTTCCATTCTGGTTTTGCCCCTCAGGCCACAATTTTGGAAGCAGGAGGACAGGAGGTCCCAGCTCGCAGTGCTGGGAGGCAGCCGGTGCTCGAAGCACTGGGGGAAGCCAGGACAGGACCAACATCTTCCCTGGGCAGCCTGGAGCTAACAGGGACCCAGTGCAGGGCCTGGCTTTGCTGCCTGCAGCCCCACAGGCAGGGTGGAAAGGGGGGGCTGAGAGCTCACCCCCTGGTCGCTCCCCAGGTGGCCGATGACAGCAGCGATGCTCCTGGATCGGAATAAATCGCAGCTGAGGGGGCCCTGGGGAGGAGGAGGACCCCATCCATACAGCTCCAGACCCTGCTGCACTCGTGTTCAGGAGCTTAAAGAAAGATGGGAACTTGCCAGGGAGAAGAATGGAAAGCGTTTAAAACCTCGGCCACGGCTGGTGCCCACACACAACAGGAGCTCAGGGGACTCCACGGCACAGGACAAGCCCTCCTGCTGCTGCCTGTACAGCCAGGAGAGAATCGATGCCATTTGTCTTCCAAGCAGCAAAACTAAATCCAGCCAGGCTGACTGCCACCCCACCCCACCCCGCCACACCAAGGGGGAGAGCAAAGTGGGGAAGGAGCAGCCCCCAGGCCATGCTGCTGAGCAAGAGAGCGATGGTGCACGTTGGGCTGGGTTTGTTTCACAGCTGCTTTCCTTTCCTAGAGCTTTGCTGGGGCTGCCCAGGTCCAGGCTCCCCAAAATCAGCCACGTGAAGCTGGGCCAGGGCCACGCAGCCCCTGCTTCTCCCCAGCCTGACCCTGCTCCAAGTAACGCTGCTGAATCTCCGGACAGAGCCCCCCACGAGGAGGTTGAGCCTTGCCCAGTGGGTGCCCAGAGTTAGGACCAAGGCGTTGCTGCTGGGGCTCCTGGCTGGCAGGAAAAATCCCCCTTGAGGCCATGGTGGGCTGCAGAAGCAGCAGTGATGCACGTGGAGATGATGCTCTGGGCTCTGGCTCCTGGTTCGGAAGAGCAACCGTGGTGGTGGGGTCATCTCCTCCCCGGAGCAACGCAGTGCCGGTGCCAGGGGGGCTGCAGGGTGCTGGGGGGCAGCTGCAGGCAGCCCCAACCAAGATTTGCTGTCAAAAACATGCGTCTGCAGACCTGGGGTCCCTCAGCTGGAGGGAAAGCCCCCGGCAGCCCCAAAGCTGTGTCTGAACAGCGGGCACCTGAGTCAGGAGCCCGGGGACCCCGCTCAGACCCCACCATGCACAAGGCAGCCTCCCCTCCTTGCAGAACCCAATGACAGCACCTTCTCCAATCATTTCCCCAGCCCTTTTTCCTCCTCGGGGAGCAGTTTCCACGTAAGCCAAAGCGCAGCAGCAAAGTATCCAAGGAGCCCAGCTATTTTAACAAAACACCACCCTGCTAAGAAAACAGAATGCCTGGTTTCCTTCAGCCTAAAATCACCCCGTCCCCAAGCCTCGTTTTGCTTTCCTTTATCGTGACCCATTCACGAGCAGAGCGGTGGCAGGACCACGAGCAAAGGAGGCAGCCAGGAGACGGCCAGGACGTAGAAGTGGCCACAACCTCGTGCCCAAGGGACCTCTCCCCAGGAGCCGGACGCCGGCCCCATTGCGCCGCAGCCTCACCTGTACCGGGGGTGCCGGGGGGCGAGCGGGGCCGCGGGGCTGGGCCATGGCCCCCAAGCTCGGGGTCTGCCGAGCCGCAGCCCAACGGGGAGCAGGAGCTGCTGCTGGGTGTTCCTCCTCCTCCTCCTCCTCCTCCTCTCCAGGTCTCAGGTGGACAGAAAGCCCGAGCCTCGCTCCCCTGTCTCTCCCTAAATAGAGGCTGCTCGTCCCACGCCATCTCAGCCGCTCATTAAGGGCTCAGGCCCAGGGCAGGGCTCAGCCCCGGACCCTTCCGACATCAAAAGGTCCCGTCAGCTCTCGGGGCATCCCGCACTTTGCTCCCGTTTCCAGCCCTTGAGCAGGACATCACGGCCGTTCCCCACAGCAGCCCGGGCATTACCCCGATTTTCCTCTCCGCAGAGGATTAGCCAAGCTGTAATAGCGCCAAATAAATTCACCCATGGCCCGTTCTCAGGACATCTCGTCTGGAAAACTCGTTTGTAGCTCACAGGACGCAGCCCGCAAATGTTGTGTTATTATCCAGGGACACTGCTGGAGCAAAGGGCTCCACAAACTGGGTCTGGGCAAGGTCTGTCCTAGATCAGATAACCGAGCAATGAGAGGGAACGGAACCCCTGGGACGAGCACACCTTCCTGGAAGCCGACCTTCCCTCCCAGCAGCACGGCTGGGGAAGCGCCCTTGGACCCCACCTGGGGGAGGTTAGCATTTTGGGAAGGTTTTGGGAAGGTTTCTTCAAAAAGCTGCTCGGGTGAAACGGCAGCGCCCTGGCGGAGGAAGCGCCCTGCACACACAGCGGGCTGAGGCAGGGGACATTCGGCTCATTTGAGGAGCATCTACCAGGAGAAAACCTCCCAGGAGCAGCTCTGAGCAGGAAGATAACCGGAGCAGGACCCAGGCACCTCGGTCAGCACCAGGAAGGATGCTCACGCACCCCAGCAGGCGAGCATCCGATTTTCAGCTCCCCTCAACCCAACCGAGCCCCTGCGAGGGCTCTCGACCCTGAGCTGAGCAGCTCCAGGTGCCGCCTGCCTGCTCCCAGCCGGGATCTCTCCACCTTGGCCATGGATCTCCTGCAAAGCTGCAGCGGCCAACATTTTTGTGGCCCCGGCAGCCCCGAAGGGGACGCATCCAGCCAGCAGAACTAATTCTGAGCGGCCAGACTTCCCCGAGTCAATTTGACGCTCCGAGAAAATTAGAAGTTCTCCCTGCTTCTGCGGAAAAAAAAAAAATAGGCGAAGGTGGAAGGCAGCTCAGAGGCTTTGATGCTGCTCTTCAGCCATGCGGGCACCACGGGCGCAGCCGCGCTCCCCGCGCTGACCATGGCTGGGGAGGAGAGGTGCACCTTCCAGTCCGCGGCGTGGGGGCCCGGGGCAAATTGCTGCGTCTCGGCGGGGAGCGCGGCCAGCCCCAGCAGCCAGCCCGGCAGGGGAGTGGTGAGAGAACTATTTCTAGAGCCCGCATTTTGACTTTAATAACCCTGACACCAGGGGTGCCCGGCAGTGGAGGAGTTTGTCCCAAGATCACAGCGCGGCAGCGCCTGGAAATGCTCCGTCCGCGCCGGGGCCCGGGCGCAGTGGGAATTCCGGGGAATGGGAGCACATGAAAGCTGTGCCCGAGGCCACGAGCACACAACAGACATGCAAAGCGCCCTTTGAATGTGGTTTCCAGCTTCCCCCTGCGAGGAAGCACTGCTTGGCTGGCCGCAGGTGGGGAGGTTTTCACCCAGGGTTACTCGCCCCAGTCCAGGGAAGGTTCTGGGGGGCCCACAGCAGCCTCCATCGTGCACCAATCGCCCTTTACGCAGGGTAAAGCACTGAGCATTCCCTCTCCAGCGCACAAAAATAACCCCAAAGCAAACAAAGTCCCCAAAATGGCCCTCCAGAAGCCCACTGGGGCAGGAGATGCAATGGCAGCAGCAGCAAACTGACGCACGCTTTGCTCACCCCGTACCCAAAGCCCCAACCCTCTCCTCGCAGGACACAAAACAGCCCCAAGCAGCACCCCGCGGCCACGGAGACCTCACCCAAAGGGAGAGGGTGAGGGAGAGGCTGCCCTTCACCAACCTCCTCGCCCTCTGCACAGCTTGGGCGAGCCCCAGAAGCCCGGCACCCTTTGTGTGAGCAGACGAACCTTGGCTCTGGGGGCGTCCCTCGGAGCTGCTGCGTGCCTGGCTCCCAGCACCGAGCTGTTCTGTGCCAAACCCTCAGTGCCAGGACCAGGCTGCTTCTTCCTGGAGCTTCCTGCTACTCACCAGGGGCACCTGCCGCCCGTTTTTCCCCACCCTGGTCAAAAAGGGCTCTCCTCCTTTGGTTCTTTGGAAAAAAAAGCCTACCTGCATCTGTTCTAATACGCCTGAAAACAGCAATACAGGCAAAAAGCCTCCAGATCACATCAAATCTCTCCTTTAAGGGAAAAAACTCCCAATTTACACCCTGAGATGAAGAGCACCGGGCGTTTGTGCTCACAGCTCAAAGGGGGAACCTGACAAGAGCAACTCAGCAGCACGGACATCTCCCAGAGGATGCATCTTCTCCCAAGAACCAGCTCTCCCCGCTCCTGCTGTGGCTGGAGGACTTCCCCTGCCTAAAACCTCCCCTGCCTAAATTCGAGGGGCTGCAGCCCTTTGTGGCCAGGTGCAGGCGAAACAAGCTGCCAGCTGAACTTTTAACAATCTCATCAGAACAGCCATAAAGGCCCCCGAGAACTCACTGCCACTGCTCACCGAAGCATTTTGGATTGTTTTTTCTAGTAACACAAACCTTTGGTTTAAAACACCCCCAAATTCTTCATTCTACAGGAGGTGGAGACTGTGATTTAGGAGCTCCCAGGCTGGAGTGCTCCTACCCCACACCACCTCGCCTCTTTTACCTGCTGGTTCTGCTCCCCGCCGCTCATTTCCTACAAACACCGGGGTGTGTAGGGGTCTCTCGATACCTACCCACCGTCCCCAGACCTCCAGGAGTGGAGGAACAAATGTGACCACGGTGTAAGACACTGGCGTTGGGGCCGAGGGCCATCATGTACCTCTCTTCCTTTGATTGATGCCACGATACTCGGCAGGGCTTGCTCAGCCTGTAATTAAAATTCCAGCACCAAGACCAAAGGTGCTGTGCTCCGCGTGAAGAGCTGGCTGAAGGCAATCATCCTGAGCACTCCGCTGCAGCTCCCTGTCTGGGGGCAGTGCTGGGGACTCCCTGCCAAGTAATTCATGGAAAGAGAGCAAACACCATCAAGCAAACACTGGGGCCTAATAAAAGGACAGCGCGGTGAGGAAGCGCCTTTCTAGGCATCAGCCTGGTGTTCTGCACCTCGCTCTGGCTGCTTCGGTTTGGAGGTCCAGCAGCTGGTGGCACAGCCACGTGCTCGCCAGCGCCAGGGGAATCAGCCTGGTCTGTATTTTACACCACACACTTCAGATTTGCCTACGCTGCTCCCTTACAACTGCTGCTGCCTGTGCCTTGCTTTTGCCATCCCAGGTTTGAGTCTCAAAAAACATGGCAAGTCCGGTTTTCATCATAAAGCTGACCTAAATGCTTTTCTACCTTCCTCCCTGCCCCATTTTCAGGTGTTTTCCAAGTGCCCCATACAAAGACACGTTAAAACACAAAAAACTCCACCTATCATTCCCAGAGGTAGCTCATCCGAGCCTTCATGCAGAAATCCTCCTCCCAACCTAAGTGGCCACTCTCCGAGGCTAAGTAGCCCCAGATGAGGGTACGGCCTCGATCCTCTGAGTGCTGGGGAGGCAAAGAGTGCTCGGTGTTCCCAACACTCACCATAAACTGCACGCCTCAGAGGACAGGAATAAGACTTTATTGTTTTCAGACTCCTTATCAGCGTCCAACGACTCAGTTATCTTTCAAAAGATGTTTAACACAGAGGCCAATTCCTCTCAGCTGTCTGTAACAGTAACAAGTTAGGAAGCAGCTGCAGTACAAGCTCCACTGGAATCGATCCAGGCACCACACAGATGGTGCAGGCAGGAGTTTGGTTGGCAAACCAAACAGGGTAACGCTTCTCCAACTGACTTGATAGAAAAGCTGAAAAGGAGAGAGCAGCTCTGGAAGTACCCAGAGAGGTACCGCAGAGCTATCAACCACCCGATGTCAGGACAGTTATTGCACAATCTTTCCCTGTACATCAGAAAAATAGTGTCATAGGGAAGAGGAACCTGTCACCCAAGACCGAGTTCTCTAGAAATTATCACCCAATGAAGAGACCTCAATGTTTGTTCCTGTTCCACAATTCCCCTCTCGTAAAATCCCCTGGCATCCAGAGGTAAATGGGCAGCTGCAATACCAGCACTTCCCAGATCATTTCCATGTTGCCAAAGTTCAACACTAAGTTCCTCCTGCTCCTCTTGAAAGTTGCTTTGTGCTTTGAGAACTCCCAAATCAGATCAACTTGGAACAAAGCAGCAAACATTCATCCTAAAATGACGGGAATTGTTACTTCCCCCCCATTCTCCCAACACGCACCTTGCATGGAAAACCCCCGCATCAGCCGAATCACTTAAACCTGTTCCTGTTCCCACCCCACTAACTCCAATGCCTAAAAATGGAGAAGCAACACAGGGTCAGGACAACCAGCGCAGAAGAGGTAAGGCAGGCAGGACTCTGTGTCAGCTTCCAGCAACAGACTGAGTAAGAAGCAGTGGAAACTTCCAAACGCTTTATTAGGAACAGTTCTGCCCATGTGCTGTTTTTATTTCCCGTCCTTCATGAACACGATTACGGAATTACCTGCCTTTCTTAAGTGCCTGTCACCACCTCACGTGGGTGCTTTACAAAAATGTGCCTGGCACGACAGGGAACCATCTCTACCAGTGCCCCGTTGCTTATTTCTCATGTCAGGTTTATCCACTAACCTGAATAGGAAAGGATAGGATGAGGAAAAAGCAATGAACTCCAGAAAAAAAAAATCTTTTTTTTTTTAGGACAAGGTTTAGATCAGAGACAAAATCAACAGTGACAGCCCCAACTTCCCAGAAGATCAAGAAGCCACCCACGAAGCTAGTTTCCCAGGAAAAGCCTTGTAGGATTATGTTCTATGCTGCGCTACGTATTTACCAAAACACGTATCGATGAAGGATCCCATCAGCCCAGAGTACAAACTCAGGTTATACTCCAACACGCCTGGGGTAACCATCAACATTCGGTAAGGGATTTGCCATCCTTATTGATAAGGAAAGAGGCTCCGTTTTGTCATTTCTGAATGTCAGTTTCTTTAAAAAATAAAGAGACTTCTCTTTACGTGACTACCTATGCTTCTCAGCAGGGACTGGGAGCTGAAAGGCAAGGAGCAGCCCCCTGGCTATTGTTTCATACCCTTTGCGTGGGCACCCTCACCTCGCTGTTTCAGTTCTGCATCTAATTTTGCCTGTTTCCCCATCATACCCAAATTTCTGAAACAAAATACCAAATTAGCATCAAATACTGGGGCAGGGAAGGAATCAAGTTATGTCTATGCCCTGGTCCGTGGTAAGTAAATGTGTACCAGCCCCGAAGAGGCCACTGGTCACAAAGCACGCTCCAGCTTCTCCAAGCGGAATGGAATTTCTCTGTGCTCCAAATTATGTTCAGCTATTTATAGAGTACATGTTTCTGAAGAAATTGCTTGTCTTTAATACACCGGGCGAGAATGTAAGTGCACAGACATACACACAGAAAATAGGGAAGAAGATGGTAAAACCTCCCTCTGTCGGTTTCGTTGCAGATATTTATGTCCTAGAACCTCTTGGAGCTTTTCCTTCAATACAGGATAAAACCTCTGTTCCTCAGAGGGGTCCTGGTTAACTTTTGAATCCAAAGATGCCCTTGATATATCCTGTGAGGCCACTCTTGGCCTTTTGCTCCACCTTGTCTTCCAGAGGTGGGAAAGCGACATGGTTAAGGGCCAGGTCAAAGAACAAGGGTTTGCATGGAATGGGCTGGAAGCCCGGAGGGAAGTGCACGAGGCTGACTTGCTTGCTGACAAGAGAAGGATCCAGACAGAAAGTCTCAAACCGTTCCGAGAGGGGCTGAAAGAGACCCATGCAGAAACAAAAGTTATACACGCGTCAAAACACAGCTGACAAACCAAACAAGCAAAGAAGAACTAGCAGAACTGCACTGACAGAAGATGGAAATCCCATGTGTGGTATCTTTGTCCCATGAAAATGGATTGATCTCCTGTCAAAGCTTTACTGCAGGATCCACAGATCTTCCCAAATGCAGGGAGAAAGCTTAAAAAAAGAAATAAATGCCACAATAGAAGCTGCAAACAGCATCCTAGTTCCTATCAAAGGAACTCTGCCCTGCCAGCAACTTTCAGGACTCACAGAAGGAAAATCAAAATCCTCCCAAAATTTCTCAAACACACTAGTCATGACAAAAACTCCAATTAACCTGATATTTCTCAAGTTGAAAGAGACACTCACATAACAGGTTAAAAGCAGTATTCATTGAGAACACCTACACTACAACCAAGCTTTTCGCTCTTACCTTGCCATCCTTGACCTGAGATGGAGACTCAGTCTCATGATTATCATTTGCATCTGCAAAATTTAAAGAAAAAGTGGTAAGAAAAACAGACTAGATCTTGGGATATGCCACGAGTGTCTCAGGAATCAGCTACCCCCTAAGCTGAGCTATGAAAGCAAGTTTCTGGGATTTGTAAGAATATTTTCAGTAGAAGCAGCTTGCTTTCTAGCCAAAGAGAATCACATACATTGAGTTACAACTTTTCAGTGATGAAGAGCTTCTCCAACACGAGAAGCTCCTGAAAGCAGAACAAACGTTAAGAACAAAGATGATGAGAAGACCCAAGTGGGGTCTGTTAAAACAACATCAAGGCAATCCATTAGATATCTTGGGCTTCCAGCAAAAGGCACAGCAAAACCAGCAGCCCAAGAAATCACAAAGTTCAACCAGTTCCCTAAAGCTCCACTAACGTGGTCAGCACCACCAATGAGCAGAACACCTCTCTTCCCTTTTTCAGGGGTTCAGGTAGGCAAATATAAAACGAGTGAGGCCACTAAGAGCTAGTGCTATTACCAAAGAAGTGGTACACACTGAATTCAACTTGTTTGCAGGAGGAAAATTAAACACTAAAAATGTTCTGTGCAAGTTCCCAAAATAGGTGCACATCCTTAGAAAACATTTTTGCAACTACAGGCAGGGAGCACGATGCCAAGTATCTGGCCAATAGCTGCCTAGCTGCATTACACACAGCTAGAAAAAGCTAAAACAGGGAAGAAAAAGTTTAAGAGCCTCCATAAGTCAGAGTTGATGTGGAAAAACATCTGGAAATTCAGAAATAAATTAAATAGCTGCAGTGCATTACTTAAGGAAAGTTAGAACTCCGGTTTAATTGTAGAGCTCACCTAATATAGCTGCTGCTTGCAAGGAGTACTTCTCTGCATTGACTTGAGTGATCAGATCCTGAACATCAGGCAACTCCTAGGGCATTAAAGAAAATTGTATGAGAACCTGAAATATGGCAGAGTTTAAGAGTTAGAGCAAAAGTAAAATCTGACAAAGAACTAAAAATTAAGTCCTAGTGCTGAAAAGCCTTCCCAGGAGAGGACAAGCTACATCACAATCCTTCAGGCACTAAAGTAGTCGTATGACAGAAAACAGAGACGTGAGAAAACAAGGAAAAGTGGTATGGAGATCTTGCAGCAAGGCCACCTCACCTCCAAAGCAGGCAGCCAGCTGAAACATTTCCACATCATCAGACAGTCTCTAGTATAACACGTCAAGAAGTATTTTTCTTAATGCTTCAAGACCAGCCTTGAATTTTAATGGCCCGGTGTCTAATGGACAATAAATACTGGGCAAGGGCTTTTTTGTTAACTTCAGCCTCTCTCTGCACACAGGATTGGGTTCCTACCTTCAAGCTGTTTGTAAAAGCTCCAGCTCCCGACTGAACTTCACCAGCATATTTCAGCACTCTTTCATACAAAACAAGAGCTTCACTCCACTTCTTTACCAGGACATAGGACTGTGCAATGAAGAAACACCTGCAACAGTAAACAGGGGATCCCTGATATGGCCATATTTGTAATCCATGGCTTTTACAGCTCAAATCACTAACAACAGAAGATATTATTAAGAAGGTCTGACCAGCTTCCCCTTAGCATCCGCTCTTCGCTTCACAAAAGGGCAGAGGAAACTGTGTCAAAGTCCAGTACAGTGCTCATAGCTTTGGGACAATACCCTTTGAGGATGCAATGCCTGCTAAAGAACATCTGGCTGTTTCTCAGTCACCTGTAAGCTTTGTACACAAGCGTCTTCAATCCAATCTCTTTTTGGAAGTTCTTGTCCTCTTCTAGGCCAGGAAGCTGCGTCAGCTCCACAAGGTTCTGCGCAAAAGAGTCAGAGTAACAAATTCAGGCAAGTGCTATTTTCCTCTGGAATCCAAAAAGCTGCCCCTTCTAATAAGTAACACTACACTCCCATGGAAATAGCTCCCAGTTTTCTAATTATCAGTATGCGCTAACCTTGTGAAGGACAGTCACTGAAACTTGTGCAAGTTCACCCTCAGGACAGATTTCCTGACACAAACAGGAATTAGGGCAAAGACTCCTCAAATTTCACAGGGAGTAATGCTTTCGTAAGACATTACTTTTCCCATTCATAACTGCTCCAGCCACAGGCTCCCACAGTTAATTGAAAATTTATGTGAGAAATTGAGAAACTGCTTATGAAGCACAAGTACAGGGTGTTTTTTCAGCTGCTACTTTCTCTAGCCAGCAGAAAGTAAGGCAGCTGCTCGGGTGCTGTATAAAATAGTCTGAAAAACTACTGGAAAACTGCATTGGAGTGTAAAAACAAGCAAGCCCATTCTCTGCTTTGAGCGTTTTCTGCTCACAGCTAAAGGCAGTGTTTTTTTCATATTCCATGCAAATGCTGAACATCTCCAACAAGGTTACTGGATGTACCAAGCTGCTCTTCAGATTTCATGGGCAGTTCATTTGCACTTCTCCATTTTATACAGTGTTGTGTTGTTTGTTTTTTTTTCTAACAACGTTCACCAGTCAGTAAAATGAATTAGATTCGCTTTCCCTAGCATTACCTGCAAAATGATATCATACAGACGGATCAGGTCCTGAGGCCGCGCGGTGCGCTTGCCATCCTCTTCTGATCGCTGCTGCTGCAGCAGTGCCTTCTGCAGAGACTTCGCCATGCTCTCGTTGCGCTTGATGGCTGTCGACAACTTGATGTAAGTCAAATAACTGAAAAGATACACCAGTAGCAGACTGTCAGAACGACTCAGACGTTACTCAGTTCCGGAGAGAAAAAGCAACAAGTCCTCCCCCAAGTCCAAGCTATTACCAGCAGGGGAAAAAAAAAAAACAACTGAGAGGTCAACATGAAAGTCTTAAGTAAAGTACTTTGAAAGCCACATGAATCAGCCCCTTATCCATACAGTCACCCTTTGAGATCTGAGAGCTCCGAGACAAAAAAAGCCTTGACATAAGAGCATGACTTCTTCACACTAGCAGAGGCCGCAATGTTTGCCTATTACCTGTGTAAGTACTGGATGTTGGACACCTTCCCGGAATCACCTTCCAGAGAGTGTTCCCGCTGCTTCTGTGGAAAATGGGGACAAAAGACTCCATGATTCACTTAAAGAGGCTTCTGGCAGAAAAAAAATACCAGAAACAACTCACAGTTTAGGTAAATCAGGGAAGTTATAATAAACTTTTGGGCAATGAATGAGGGCTTCTACATTATTGTTCACCCTCACCAACTCTGAAGAGAATCAAATCAAAGGTGGTAAACTGGTTTGCAGCGTTTCATCAAAGAAATCCAAAAAGTCACTTTTGCCATTAAGCAAGTTAGACAGTAACAGAACGTCCCCCCAAAAAACACTACCTTGTGGAAATACTGATGTTTGGTGCTTACCTGGTCTGGTTTCAGATCTTCCCGAACAGCTTGAATGGCATCTCTGCACTCACTGAGTAGAGATTCAAACAAACGTTCCTTTGTCTCCTCATTTTCTGCCTAAGAGCAAAGCAAAATTTAGACTTCTGTTAGACATTTTAGATTTTGTATCCCATAATGCAAGAGTCAAAGGAGATTACACCAAGTTTCTCCCAAATTATGACTTGAGTATCCATGAGTAGCTCAAACTCTGATCTGTACCTGTCTGCAAAACAGTTCAGGGGGCAAACTGACAGAAATTGGGACCAAAAAAAGTGCAGGGAATGTGGTCAATATTTTACAGCACTGGAGGACCAGCACAAGCAGCTCTGATCACCTCATCCCTGCAGCTCCTGCCATCCCAGCAACTGCCCTGCTGTCCAGGATTGCACCTGCACTGCTCTGAGAACTGCTGGGGCTGGACTGCGCTGTGGGAAATGCCCAGCAACATAAGAAGAGCTGAGCATTACCAAACTGGCAAACTACCAATGCAGACTGCTCTTGTTATGCTGATTTAGCTTTTCTCTTGTGGTAAGCACATGTAGATGACTATCTTTTCTACACTCCCACTCCAGCAATGCTCTCGGTGACAATAATTAGTTTGTTTGAAGCATTTTTTTTTAATATTATTCTGTATCTCAGCAGCAGGAGTAATTGAGTAGCTTTCTGCTGTCACAAGTTTGGTCAAAACATGAAGCAGTTTTTGTCTTTCTGTCCCAAAACCAAATTGTAAAACACCTTTGGAAAGCAAAAACAAGTTGAAGCCTGACCTTCGCATAATGGACTTGCATACCAGGTACCCAATTAAACAATACACCCAAAATCACTCTGATTCAGTATGAGCAAACTGCCCAGAAACTAAATCCCAGCCTTAACAATCAAAGGAGAGGTTAATCTGGTAAAAGCAAAGCACGTCAGCACTGTTATATCAATTCCATGCCATGGAACAGCCTAAGATGAACATTTGCTGATTTTTTTTTTTAACTTGAATTTTTTCCAAATAAACAAGAAACAGTCTAAAACATAATTGCTTTTATTATCTTCAGTAGAGCTCTACAGCCTCCTCTTTTAGGAGCTACAACCTCTGTGAAAAGCTGCTGAGCTCTACCAATTCAAAGCCTTTCCTCTTTTCAGGTTTGCAAACCCACGAAGGAATGTTATGTCTACTCCCCCACAAAGCCTCAGGTATCTTGACCTAAGATGAAGGCATGTGTTTTTTTGATTCCTTTTTTTTTTTTTTTCTGTGGCAAGAATTTTTAAGGTGGGACTAACTACTGAGAAAAACCAGAGACAAGTCTGGCAGCATTCTCAACCTCACCCTGCGGAGCACGGCCATTTCACTGCGCGCACAAAAATGAAAACAGACGGAGCTAAATCATCAGTCAAGCACAAACAGGGAAAGGGCTGGGCCACGCAATGAAACAAAGGCTTTCCTTTCGAAGCTAAGGTTAAACAGATCGTGAGCGCGTAAATACTCCTATGTTCTGATTTGTGAGATACCAGGCCATAAAACTGATAGGCAGTGCTGTGGCTTGAGATTAAAGCGCTCTGACAGAACAGCACAGTAAAGGAATCAAGGGAACCAGTCCAACAGAACGCAGTTCTGAAAGGAGTGCTCATGTCTATTTTTTCTTTATTTTAAAACTTCATATATCATTTCTGAATTATTACCAGCCATTCTTGCTACAATCCTAGTTACTAAAGATGATCACAGCATCCTTGAGGCAACAGCAGTTAGGAGCACGCTTTTATTGCTTTGTCCTGCAGCCCTTGAAGAAATGCATTCAAGTCTACAAAAGGGATGGCATAAATATTTCAAAAGCGTGGATTCGTATTTCAGTTTGGCTTATTTGTTCCGTTTCTCCAGTTACCATTAAGACATTGCAGGCAACGAGGCAGTGTACTGAGAATTTCTATCTTTACTCAGAACACACATTTGTGTTTGTTTCTAACCAAATTCCAGCCACTGCTGTTACGTTAGTGTTTCTGCTAGTCTTCACCGAGTTGAAAGGTGCCAAAGATCCCAGGGATCACCACAACGTGTTTAGGCTGAAGCTGGACTGCCCATCACAGCTGACACCAACTGCAAAGCTGCTCGCAAAAAGCCAAGTTTCAGCCCCCCAGGAGGGTAAACACTGCTGCTGAGTGCTCAGCTCTCACCACCACTAGCTATGATCTGGTACCACACAGCTCCTGTTTAGTCAGAGGTTCCCAGGAGCACTAAGCAAGATTTGACATTTCAGATCACTGTTCTGCCCCTTCTTTAGGGAACAAATTGGGTAACTTAACTGAAGAGCTCCATCTGCTACCCTTACAGGATAGAAAGTGAACGAAGGAACACTCAACTCTAAACTGCACTTCCACCTGCTGGCCATATCAATGTACTACCTTCTAAAACCAAAAACGAACAAAACAAAACAAAACTAAAATAAAAACTCAGCAACACACTGTTCATAGTATTCTGCTAAGAGTAGTTAACACTAATGTTTCCTACCCAGCCATACCTCATTTACCCTATTAGGCTGTCTTCTTAATACTAACTTAATACTTTTGCCTTACACTTTTGTAGAATTTTCATTTTATCACTTAAAAAGGTATTTATCCTCATTTTTCTCCTAGTGCTAAACAGTTCTTTGTTGATGCAAAAAGCCCATATTTAGCGGCAACAATTGTTTCTAAAGATCATTTTACTACCTTTTAAAGGATGCTGTATGCAGAATTCAGAAGAATACAGCACCTGGACACTGTATGCAAGGAAAAATCCCCGAAGGGAACTCTTGGCTGCAACACTAAAGGCATGCACAGTGTGTGCCACTGGAGGTGTTTCAGAACTGGTACATTTGAGTTTACCTCCTGACATTTAGCAATTCTCTTACTTTTGAAGATTTGCATATGTCAACAAGAAAACATTCTAAGCCTCAGAGCAGCTGCTTCACTTGGCAAAGCTGCTTTTCATTGCTGAAAAAGAGTGATCCTTACAGGTTTTTTTCTTCTGGTTGCTCTTAAGTTTGAGCATTTCATCAAGATAATGTAGAACAGTAATTCAGAAGTAGTTACTCTTTAAACTGTAACCTTCACTTCCAAGTGATTTACAAACAGTAATGGCTATCGCTCTGCTACTGAAGGACAACACTTCCAGGCAGGATGAAGCATTCAGAAGAGCAGTAACACTCGCTGGCTTCGTAGAACTGCTCTCCCAAACCACCACTAAGGACACCACACGAGCTAGCCCCAGCTGCCACTGAAGCTTTGCGTTACAATACTCCCGTTTTTACTTTTAGCTTTCTGACCACAAGTTTGAGAAGGGATTTAAAAGCTTTTAGCCCAAGGACCAAACTTTTAACTTGCACACTGAAATAAAGAGGACAATTAAAACAGACATTGGAGATGGCTTCTGAGTTACCTGAACAATAGCAGCCTCGTTGTCGGCCAGCCCCAGCAAGAAGATCCTCACTTTATCAATCTTCACTGGCACAGTTCTTCCTCTCCACTCCACCTCACTCATCGTGGCTGCCTGCTTTGCTCGAGTTTGGGTAATCAGTGCCTGTGAAAAATGGACTGAAGTTACAATCCCAACCTTAAAGAATCCACAATTGATTACTTTGAAATCAAAGATTTGGTTGTCTTCTTTGTTTGTTTCTTTTCTTTAAATGTGTGGCTTCCTATAGAGCTCTGGCTCAATTAAGTTCTTCTCATACATACTGGTTCTGAAATGGTGTACTACAGCAAGATTTATGCTCAAAACGTGGTATTTGCATGCTTCAAGTCAAAACATTCGGTAAGTTACCTCCAGTTTTTCTGCAAGAAGACCTTCAGTGCCACCAGACCTCAGTCTCATCTGCATCAACTCATTCATAGCAGACTGGTCACCTGAGGGAATTAACAAATCAATCTATTTCCATCTGAATTCAGAAATCACTTCAATACAGGAAAACTATAAATTCAATAGATTTAATAGTGGACATTTGTTGGTGAAGAGGATAAATATACAATTTCATTCTGACTTCACACACAACTGCAAACAAGTATTTTGTCTTTTTATACAAAAAAAATGCAGTGTTGCAAAATTAATATATTTCTCCACAGCTAAACTGACACAGAACACAGTATTTACCCACAACATCAAGGACTCTCTCCTGTGTCACTTAGATCAGTATTTAAACACCGAGTCAACATTTATTTCTCAGGAGCAAGCCTTGCTTTTTGCTGGCCATTAAACACCCCCTTTCCTTACCAATATTATAGGCACAGTAACGAATGTTGGGAGAAATCTCTTCCACGCGCTGATTATACAGCACAGCTTGCTCTTCTGTGAAAGCGTTGGCCAGTTTCTCGTATATGGTCCTACAGAAAAGAATATATATTAACACTGTAGAATACATGTTAACACTGTATTTTGTGAGATGCTATTTTAAAGAGTTTATGCCCATCATCTGGAGAATGCTACTTCTTCAGCAGCACCTCTCAGTTAAATGCAGTTACCTAAACAACTCACAGCTGTTGTGCACACAAACACCTAGTAGACTGATCTCCAAACCATTTACTAAACGAAGCTGGAGAAGTGAGGAAACTCACTTGCATTTGTTGAAAGCTTCCATTGCCGCCTTCCACTCCTGGTGTTCAAAACGAAGCATTCCCGTGAGGTAAGCCATGTAGGCCTGCAGACAACACAGGGATAATCAAGCTAATTTTCCCGAGACTGAGAGCCCAGTTTGTACAACTTTTGGCACGAAGGCTGCTGTGACATCTAGAGTAAGTGATTATGCCTTGCCCTTCTTGTTTGGTCTTCCCACAGAAAACAATCCATTCGGATTACATGTTACTACCTAAGAAACCTTTTCATTTTTTTAAACCGACATTTCTACATTTCTAAGGACGTGGAAGCAAACACATTTCTTGCTTGTCATGCAGTCGAAACGGCCCACTCATGTCACAAGACATTTTTTTTCCCAACACTAAACCACAAAATGACAATTTTAGCCGAGTACCATTGCAGCCCTTATTCACAGTCTGGTGGTGTCACAACACAGTTGCTTTCTGTGTTCCAGGAACCGGAGCCACAAGACTTGTGTTCTAGATGGCTGCTTCAGTATATTAAACAACTCTAAAGGTAAGTACAGTTTCTCAGGCTGTGTTGCATCATCTTACTTCTTCCCAATTCTTTTTACTTCTGTTAAACGTACTGCTTTTTAAATTAAAGATACACTTGATACACTTACACAACTTGATCCTCATCTTGGCTGGTGTCACTTATTTTTGCAATCCTAGCAGCTGCATTAACAGCGAATCCAAGCTAGATAGAGAGCCATTAGCCAATTCAAAAAGAAGCAAGTTTTGATCATCTAGTGCTAGATCAGAATAATCCCTTCACCTAAAACCCTGGAGTTTTCTTCAGCTTTTGCTGTAAAGCAAGACTGAAGTATCAGAGGTTACCTGGGCCTCCAGCTTTGTTTTGGCATCTACTCGGTTACTTTCACACAGTCTCTCCAGCTCCTCGGCGTGCTTCACGGCCTTGCGCAGGCGGGACAGCAAGTGAAACCGTTTGCGAGGCTCCGTGTTCGCCTCCTGCTTGAGCTGCATGGCGTAACTCCAGGCTCTCTCCGCATCCATCAGTATCAGCAGCAAATACCTGCAGGGCAGAGGAAGATTAGTGACAAAGTGGTGGTGGCTCAAGCAAGTGCTAACAGTTCTTTGTCGAGCAATCTGCAAAGTCTGGTGATGAAACTTTAGCTTGGTTACTAAGAGGTATATGCTTTTATTTCTTAACTTTAAGAGAACGTGAAGTTGTGCTACTCTTAACTCTTACATTTTATTTCACTTTATCGAAGTGCAATTACTCAAATAAGGAAGAGAATTTGGTAATAATGCTATAGCACCAAAAAAGCTATTAAAAAAAAAGGTCTCTCTGATTTTAAGTTGCTTTTCAAACTGGTTCAACGTGGGTAAACACATCTACGCTCCCCACAATTGATGCTGTAATGTATCTGGCTTCTTAACACAGGTGAAGACAGCATCTTGTTTTCTTTCCCCTATGAGAAATAAAAAAGACAGCAGACAATTTAAATGTTTCTAAATGCTAGGAAATGAGCCCAAAACCCTGGCTATTCTGCACACATCAGCCGAGTATTCTGCCAGATTTTGGAAGTCTATGTAAAACTGGCAAGCCGATGTTTTTGTTCAGAGGGAAGAGATTCTATCTCCAATCACATCCTTGCTGGCTACAGCACATGCACGTGGCCACCTTGCAACACTTCTGAATAAGTGCTTCCTCTTTAAGACCTAAATAATCTTTACTGATTATGAAAGGAACCAACCCATTTCAACGACTACAAGGGAGAACAGGAACTGGCTGTCGCTGCTCCTTCTTTTCTTTTCCCCTTTATTCACAAGATAAAGCAGTATCTGAGCAGCGTTTCTGCTCCCTGCACAGCAGCCTGAACTTTGATCTTTTATTAACATCAACAACGCACATTTCTGAAGAGCAACGTCTGCAGATACTGCGCAGAACAATTTTCTACCTCACCCACACGAAAATAAATTCCTGAAATGAGAACAGCTACTCCCTAACGCACAGCACGCCCGATTCCATCCTGTTCCATTCCGTACCTGTTGTCTGAGAGAATCTCTTCGGTCACCTTCTTCCCAGTGAACTTGTGCCTGTTTCCCATCTTGAAGTTGAGAGTTTTTCGGAGCCGCCGTAGCCTACGGGAGCAATAACCCCTATGGAAAAGAAAAGGAAAGGACGGTCAGTTTGGCCACAGGACAGCTTTGTTTCTGTTTGCTGATCTCTCCAATCAGGAAGAAAAAAAAGCATCACTCAGGGCTGTGATAGGCAATGTTTGTGCAGCGAGAGGTTCTTCAGAAATTACCTGTAAGCCAGTGGTTAACAAACAGAATAAAAGAGAGGGAAGAAGACACACAGTAATTCTTGATCTTGAAAAATCAGAACAATGCTCTCCTTATTGATTGCTTTATGTACGTTCCTTGAAAATTCAGTTTTGGAAGAATATAGTGATTGGAAGAGCACAGTGCTCATCAGCGAGGTGTTAACAAGCTCTTAAGGGGCAACAGAAAAAGAAGAGGCAGTTTGTGTCCTCCTCAATGGAACAGTCACAGCACATTACATTTAATGAGGAAAAAATCATGCACATCATTTCACACGAAGCAAACCGTGAAGGGGTATTTACCTGGCAGATCATTTTTGATGACTACTACAGCGGGTTTACGTTTTAAATGTGCTTGTGCTAATTAATCAGGTAAGCCAAGTGGCACGAGCTGTATGAGACCAACCCCACACCATCCTGCAGCTTACTGACCTGTACCTCTGGAAGTCTCCATGACGCAAACCATGCTGCTGCTGCGATTCCTTCACAATCTGAAGGACTGGGATTCACGTTAAGGCAGACTGGCAGTACAGCGTGTTGTCAGCTCATCACCCTACCCCAAAATAACAAAGGGAACTCTACAGGTCCCATTAAACGAGTACTCCTTGAAGAGACATTGGTGAGGGGCACCCAAAAGCCTCCTAAAGACCCACAGCTGGAAGAACTGACGGGGTTAAAAGAAATCCTACCTCCATAGCTTATTTCAGAGCTTTTGTGACTGTCAAAGACAAGACTACAGCATACCACAAGCATCCCCTCTCTTAGGCAGTGAGCCCTAATGCCAGCAGAGCTCATTTCTGAATAATAAGAGGTACTGGCAGAAGTATCTGGGCTAAAATCAGCACCACCCCCACAGCCAGCGCCGTGACACAGTTCCACTGACACAACCGGAGCACAGCGAGCAGCCCTCCTGCCCGTACACGTCCCAGCTCTCAGAAGAGGAGGCAAGCGCCGTACTACGCCGAGCAGAATCCCTGCTGCCTTCCTCACACAGCCTTCCACGGACAAACTGCTTCCTGATACTAGGATCTCATGAAAATGAGCTTATCTGAAGTACTCGGGGGGGTTATTTTCTACTCAAGTTTTCCAGCACGCTTCTAATTTGGCTACACGTAACTGTAACAAACGCTCCATGACAGAAAGCACTGGCCTGTGATTTCCTACAGCAACGTTTATTTTGTGGCTTCCATCAAATCTGTGCAATTTTCAGTACATTTACTGATTTCTGTGCATCTTGTACTTCACCCGCCTGCCCTACCACACACAATCACGCTGTATTCTACCAAATTTTGCCAATGCTATTCATTGAGTTTACATGGCAAAGTTTTCATTTTGGGAAAGACGAGCACTATCATCAGCAAGAAATCTCCGTGCAGTACTTATGTACACCAAAGACATTCTCTTTTAAGCGTCATCAACAAGCCTTTAAAACAAAAGTAGCAACCCCCACCAGACTGTACAAGGAGCCCATCAAACCAATACTGTTAGTGCAGCTGGAGAATAAGAGGCCACCAAACTTCTCAAGTTTAAAGGGCAGGCCTCTCTGTTTTCTTGTAATTACACCTAAAAGAAAGTCTCCTTAATTTAAGCATCGAGAATCTACACCAATAACTATTACATTAATTAGGCTGCGTTAGTGAAACAAGCCGAACTGCAATGCCTGAACGTGGCTCAGGGCACACACTCCTCATCTCTGCTGCCTACCTTGTTATTTTCAGCCTGTGCAGTTACTTGCTGAAGTCACATCCCTATATTATTCACATTTTTGCTGTCTTCGGTATCACTCCTAACGCTACCAGGGCAGTTACCAGAGCTGCCACTTACTCCAGTTTCTAACCTCGCGACACCTGCCACATGCTAAGCTCCAAACTGCAGCCTTGTTTCGCTTGGATGCGAAGCGAAACCTCTCCCCCAGCAGGTAAAACCCTGCCCTAGCACAGCTGTGCAGCTGAGGCAGCCTCACGTGGAAGCCCAGAGCTCAATGTGCCACATCAGCCTTCGGAAGCGCTAAATCTGGAGAAGCCAATCTGCCACCCAGCACACCTGCCAGACTTATTTTATCCACTATCACCCACTTCAGTGATTAACGTCACCCCCAAAGCCTACCGCCTGCCTCCTCTCAAAGCACACCGACTTCTACCTCGCCGGCTGCCACGTGGCTGGGAAGAGGCTGCAAAGGCAGGCACAGAGCCACAGCTGGAGCACAGCACAAGGCTCAGGAAGGCGAAGCTTTCTGCCCCTCTTCCTCTCACCAAACCCTGCCAGGGCCGGCGGGGGGGGAAACTTCGGGTCCAGCCCCAGCTGTGCAGCAACCCCTTCCCTCCGCTCCCTCCTCCTTTCCAGCTCCCTGCACTCCTTCCCCCCAGCTCCCCTCAGCCTCCCCCCCACCCCCCTCCAGCCTTTCCCCCCGGCTCCCCTCAGCCTCTCCTCCCCTCCAGCCTCTCCCTCCCGTTCCCCTCACCCCTTCCTCACCATCCCCTTCACCCCTTCTTCCCCTCCAGCTCCTCGCAGCCTTCCCTTCCCCTTCCCCTCCCCAGCTCCCCTCAGGCCTCCCCTCACCCCCCCCCCCCCAACCTCCACCTCACGGGGCCGGGCCTGCCACGTCCCCCATCCCCCGTCCTCCCCCCCAACCTCCACCCCCATCCCCTCTCTTCTCCCCTCAGGATGCTCTCCAGCCCCAAGCTGTCCCCGAGGCTGCCGGCCCGGCCCCCCGGCGGCCTCTCGTTCTCCTTGTTCTCCTCAGCGCCTCCTCCCGCCCCGCCGCGGCCGCCCTGCCGCTCCGCCGCCATCTTGTGCGCGGGCCGCACGGCATCATGGGGCGGGAGGGGGGGGCCGAGGGGCGGAGGGAACGCGCTGAGGCGGGTTTGGGGTGAGGGAGGATTGAAGGGGTTTATGGCAGCCCCCAGCAAGGGTTGGAGCTCCTAGGGTTGTGTAAACGCCGCTGTGAGCACCCAGTTTCCAAGTCTGGGCTCCTCAGGCGCTGCCCCACACGCTGGGCTGCCGTTGTTGGTATTGGCGTGGCCACGGTGCCTCTGCCTCAGCGCCCACCCCATATCCCCCCCCTCAGACCCCTTGGCTGCCTCCTGAGGCTCCCCCTGCTTGAGAAAGGAGCTTCAGGGAGCCCTGTCCTGCTGAGTGAGATTTGGGGTCCCGAGGAGCTGCCCCGAGGTGTCTGGCTCCACCAGCCCTGCAACCAAACCAAAGGGTCAAGGGCCAGGGAGCAGCTGGCTGCGATAGTTCCTTCACTAATTCCCCTCATTAACCATCAGTGCCCTTCATTAACCAGCACATCCCAAGGAAGGACCACGGATAGGGCTGGAGCTACCAGCCTGGCCATAGCCCTGGGCACCCAGGGCATTCTCACAGCCGCCAAAGCCCCCCCAGATGCTTGTAGGGCTCCTGCGGGACCAGCCCCATGGGGCAGCGCCATCCTCTGAGCCTCCTTTCTGGGGACTCTTCCACTCAAACCTGCACTGCATCAATCCAGGGCAGCCTCTCCTTCCCTTACCACAGTCTCAGGACATGTTTGAGGTCCTCAGCCACCTTTGAACATCGTGGTCTGGGTGGCACTTGAGGGAAGTGGGTTTAGACTCCCCCAGGCCAAGCACTAATCAAAATTTCCCATCTCCAGCCCCAGAACGTGTAGGGAACACCTTTACTCTGCCTGATCGTGCGTCTGGTAAAAGGAGAGACCCTCTGTTATTTAGAAACTCAAACACACCCAAACCCAGGAGCACTTCCCTGCAGCCAGTTAAAGGTATGTACCCCAGTTCAGATCAGGTCCTCTTCCCCAAGGGCTTTGGGTACTTGAAGCAAGCTTAAGGACACCTCTTCAGGACCAAACACCAACTGCTTTCCAAATTCCTGCTGCCCTAAACACCTCTGCAGACAAAGCCATTACCACTGAGCCTCACAAGCTGCTCCCGCAGATCTCCCTTCCAGCCTAAGGCTCTGCTGCAACAACAGAACCAGCAGAAAATTCTGCACATTTGCCCTCCCTGGGCTCAGCTCTGACCTCTTATTTCTGATTTCAAAGCTCTCATTCCCTCTTTTGGACATTAAAGCTCAACGAGGAAAGAACAAAACCAAATCCTCAATCTGAAGCTTTCCCTCGCAAATCTCTTAAGCTGTTTCTGGCTGCTCTTGGTTTTTACCACATCTCCCTGTGAGCCATTCCCTACCTAAACCAAACTGTTTCAGGACAGTGCTCGATCCAAGCAGACGTATATCAACAGAAACATTTTACAAACAACTTCTCTCACAGCTGCAGTGGTTTTGTCCACCCTCAGAGGCCAGGGACCTGGTCTGCCACTGACAGCCCAAATAACGCCCCTCCAGCTCAGGGCAGGGGAAGAATTCCTCCTGAAGTTTCTCGATGAGGGAATCTTGTTCATCTCGTTATGATTTTTGTGATTCTTTGTTATACTGGTTAATGGCTTTTGCATACAAGGCTGCAGGTTGTGAGCTGCACCAAAGCTTGGGAAGGTTTGGGAAGAAACTGGGTGTTTTCCCTTAATCTCTGTGGTGTGAGCAGAGACCTGACCTTCCCCTGAGCTGACCACAGGTGCCTAAGTACACAGACACACCATCAGGGTTGATAAAAACAAATGCCAGTGCCCCGCTGTGGGGTTTTTAGGGCACTCCCAGCAGGGTGGCAGCGCCCTGGGGCCAGGCTGTCCCCGTGAGCCATCCACACGGCCTCCACCACATGGCTGAGGAGGCAGCACAGCCCTCACCCGGGGCAGGATCGACTCCCCGAGGGTTTATGGCCAGTCTGGGGCTGCGGGAGGGAGGCAGAGCTGCACTGCTGCGCATCAGCACCCGCTGTTCCCTGCGGGACAGCTGGCTTTCCTCTGAGCTGCTCCTAATCACCTGCTTGCCCTGCCTGATAGCACCCGGAGCAGGGCATCCTCTCGCACCAAAGGCTGAGCCAGGCGGTGAACTTATTTCCCCACGCAGCTCAGCTGTTTGCTGGGGCTGCTCACGAGTTTTGGGGTCCCGAGCGTGCCACGGGCTCCGTGTGCTGTGCAGCGATGCCTCGGGGCTGTGAGCATCCCCTGGTCTCGCAGCGCGAGATCTGAACGTCCATAAAGGTGATGGAGCAGCTGTGCAGTGGGCTAGTTATCAGATTAATTGATGCATGAAATATCTCCCTCCACAGGAATAAAACAAGGCAGCCTGGGGGCCAGGTGAAGTGCCCTCGGAGAGCTGCTCGCACCGAGCAAACCGAGACGTCCACTTGTGAACACTCTGAAATAACAAACCCAGCAATTTCACAGGCAAGAAAAGAGCAGAGACATTAAAAAGATTTGTTCTGGCTGCAGTGAGTTCACCCGATCCCCCACACTGTAGGGGAGAAAAAAAGGTTCTCCTGCAAACCTTTACTCATCCCTGCAGCGCTCTTGTGCAGGGCTTTTTGTGCTGGAGAATTGACAAGTTCGCAGCCTGAGGACCCCCGTTCCTAAACCCCTCTGCTTTCTACCCCACTAAATCCCGCTCCCCCTGCCTACCCAGGGCAGGAGGCAGTGCTGGGAGGGGGACACACACACACGACAGATTTCAGTGCTCATTCCACTAAAACAGCCAGCGAGGGGCTGGGCAGGAGCCGCCACCGCCCCGTAGCCCTCCTCCTGCTTCTCCTCCTCCTCCTCTTCAGCAGCAGGGAGAGCAGAGAGCACGGAGCAGCACGGAGCAGCTGCGGGCTCCCGAGAGACCCGGAGGAGGCAAACCTCTCCCCGTTCCCCTTGCACCATCCCCGTGCATCCCCCTGGCACCTCCCGCGTGCTCTCCGTGCATCCCGGTGCCTTACCCTGCACGTCCCGCCGCGCTTTCCCTGCACCCCCTTCCCCGGGCACCCCTTTTTTCCTTTTTCCCCGGGCACCCCCCGGCCATGAACGGGTCGGTGCCGGGCTCCGAGGGGGGCTGGCAGCCCGAGGCGGTGCTGCTGCCGCTGGCTTACCTCCTCATCTTCCTGGTGGGCACCGTGGGCAACTGCCTGGTGCTGGCGGTGCTGCTGCGCAACGGGCAGGTGAACAACACCACCAACCTCTTCATCCTCAACCTGGGGGTGGCCGACCTCTGCTTCATCCTCTTCTGCGTCCCCTTCCAAGCCACCATCTACACGCTGGAGGGCTGGGTCTTCGGGCCCTTCCTGTGCAAGGCCGTCCACTTCTTCATCTACCTCACCATGTACGCCAGCAGCTTCACCCTGGCCACCGTCTCCCTCGACAGGTAGGGAAGGGGATGGGGGGCTCCTCCGCGAAACCACCCCAGCAGGAGAGGGGACAGACAGCCCCGGGGAGGGATTGAGCACACCTCTGGGGGCTGGCAGGGGGTCCAGGAGCATTTTCCAGCTCACGGGTGTAAAGAGATGGGAGCACTGAGGACCTGAAGCAGGACGGGAGAAGGTTGAGTGGGGAGCCCCTGGCTCTTACCGGGGTTTCAGACCCCAAAGCTGCAGGACCAGGGTTTAGGCAGGCTCTGGCAGTTGAAGAGGGGATGGAAAACCAGAGAGAAACCAAGCTCTGTCCCTGCGCAGCCCTGGCTCTTACTGGGGCTCTCTTGGAGAGAGCAGCTGCCCTCCAAAGCAAAAAACAAAACAAAACATCAAGAAAGGGAAAACACGGGGATGTGTCAGCTTGGGCACTGCTTTTTCTCACCTTCCCCTTTCAGTAGCAAAAAGCTGATTTCTGTCCCAGCGGTGTCCCTCGCTGCGGTGACCCCCCCAGCCGGGTTGCAGCAGGGAAGCTCCGCACAAAGGGAACCTCAGCCCCTGCGAGGGCTCCCAGCCGCTGACAGCGAGCGTGTAATGATCGGGGGCTGCTCTGCTGGGCGTGGAGGGGATGCAGCGAGCCCCCGGGGAGCCCCCTGTGTCCTGGAGGAGGGAGCAGGAGCTTGCCAGAGCTCCTAGACCTGGGCGTAATTAAGGACCCAGCTAATTACAGACCCGATTGTGGGGCGGTGCGTGCTTTTGCATGTGCCAGCTGTGAGACACGCAGTGTCTGGGGGTCCTGGGGGTTTCCTTCTGCCTTCAGATCCCTGCTGCCACCCTCACTGGAGCCGGATCAGGCGTGGGGCTGCTGGGCTGGGGAGAGGGACGGGATGGGACCAGCCCTGCCCGACCCCAGAGCAGAAAATGGGGTGGGATGGGGCAGGGGACGGGGCCGTTCCACACCCCGCTGTGCTGCACAGCCCCCCAGAGAGGGTGGGGAATTCCTTGCGGGACCGATGGCCCCGGCCAGCCGAAATCCAGCACTTGCAGCCTTCCTCCACGCCCCCTCCCCTTCCCACGCAGGTATTTGGCCATCCGCTACCCCCTGCACTCGCGGGAGCTGCGGACGCCCCGCAACGCCCTGACGGCCATCTGCCTCATCTGGGGGCTCTCCCTCGTGTTTTCGGGCCCCTACCTCAGCTACTACCAGCAGTTCCAGCTGGCCAACCTCACCGTCTGCCACCCCATCTGGGACGCCGCCCACCGCAAGGCCATGGACCTCTGCACCTTCGTCTTCAGCTACCTCGTCCCGGTGCTGATCCTCGGCCTCACCTACACGCGCACCATCCGCTACCTCTGGAGCTCCGTGGACCCCCTCCAGGACGCGTCGGAGTCCAAGGCGGCCAAGAGGAAGGTCACCAGGATGATCATCATCGTCGCCGTCCTCTTCTGCCTCTGCTGGCTGCCCCACCACCTGCTCATCCTCTACGTCTGGTTCGGGTACTTCCCCCTCAACCACGCCACCTACGTGCTCCGCGTCCTCTCGCACCTCGTCTCCTACGCCAACTCCTGCGTCAACCCCATCGTCTACGCCCTGGTCTCCAAGCACTTCCGCAAGGGTTTCAAGAAGATCTTCAGCTGCCTCCTGCGGAAGAGGGCGGCCAACAAGGTGCACGCGGCCCCAGCCACCCACACGGCGAGCACGCTGGAGGCAGAGCTCAGCGAGCTGCCCCACGGCCTGCCCCGACGCTGCTCCGCGCGCTGCCAGGTCCCGGAGGGGTCCTGGGGGGAGGAGGATGGGGCAGGGGGGCAGCAGCAGGGAGCGGACGGCTCCTTCATCACCTTCAACGTCACCTAGCGGAGCCGCTCGTCGTCACAGGTTTGGGGACGGACCACGATTTGGGGTTAATTGTGTCAAATTTTACAATTTTTTTCCCCCTTCGAACGCTGCCAGGTGTAGAACTGCTGGAACGCTGCTGCTTTCTGAGGGCTCAGCCAAGCGAGCTCCTGAGGAGCCAAGCACAGGACTCGTTCCCACCCAAGAGCAGAGATCGAAACCCCAAATCGGTTCTTGTCTGTGATCCCTGCTCCTCTGCCCGGGGCAGACTGACACCCTGCCGTGTCTGCACCCGGCCCCTTGCGAGAGCTCCGATCCCCCCGACCACAGCAGTGGCAGCGAGAGGAGCGGCTCCAGGTGCCCTCCTCACCGCCGTCCCCACGCATGAGAGGCCGACGTGACTCACACCCGTGCTCTTAGCGCTGAAAAGGCTCCGAGAGCAGCTGGACCCTGCTGCAGCCAGCAGCCGAGGGCTTTTATTTAAAAGCCTGTCACTTTTCTGAAAGAAGAAGAGCGTCAGGGGAACGGGACCCGCTAGCTCTTCTGAAAAACCCTGCCCCAGAGCACTGCTGGAGGAGGTGGGGAAGCCGTGTGGGAAGGGGCCCGGCTGTGCCGAGCATCCCTGCAGCTTCCCGGGGCTGCCCCACAGCACAGACACCCACAAAATCAGCTCCCTGAGAGCTCAGGTCCCTGCCAGCCACCATCACCCACCCCTGGGCCCCATCCCAGCTTGGGGGCACCCCCGCAGCAGCAGGATGCCCTGCAGGAGGTTTTTAGGGCCGGGACCCCACAGCCCCCTTGGCACGCTGCTGCTTCCACCCCCCTCCAGCGCGTGGCCTTCCCTCCCGGCGAGCTTTCTGCTGTCAAACCCTTCTCTTTCCCCTGCCAGGCGTTAGGATAAGCAGAGCTTCCTGTCCCCACGCAGCGAGCCATAAATCGGCCGCCGCCTCCCCTCGCTGACCGTTGTATTTAGTCTGGGCCCGCTCAGGGCGTGAGGCACGGAGAGGGATTGTATAAACAGCCCCATTACTTCTCGCAGTATTTACCTCCCCTGCTGGACCCTTCCCAGCCTGGGAAAATATTGCATCAGGCGCGCAAACACGGCAGAAAGCCTCGCCCTCTGCTCCTGACCTCGGCCACGGGGAGCAATCCTCACCCCTCCACCCCGCTCCCCAGTGGCAGTGGGGACAGGACACCGTCCTGCTGCCCCCTTACCCCAGGGGAAGTCCCCAGAAAGGCCAGGAGTCACCCAGCCCCGGCATCTTGCTAAGCACAACGGCCACGCGTCCTTCCCCTTCCCTGCCCTGTGGTCTGCCGGTGTCTTCCCAAGCACAAGCAACAGGAGAGGGCAAAAGAAGAAGGAAGCGAGGTGGTAACGGGGTGAAGCCATCCCCAAAGCTGGGCAGAGCTGGGCTGCTCCGTTCAGGAACCTCCTTCAGCTGGAGAGCCAAGCGAGCAGCGCTGCGATGCCGCACCGACCACGGGATCGACACGTGTGTGGACGTGGAGATGAGAGAAAAGCTGCAAAGAAAGGGCAAGCGATTCCTGAGCGTAACAAAAAGTGATTTTGTGAGCAAGGGGAGCGCTTCGCAGAGCCTTCCAGCACATCCACTGATCACATTCAGCACTGACACCCCAAAACTGACTGCAGTGACTCCCTGCCCCCCAGCTCGTCCCACTGGGGCACCAGGAGAAGGGAGCAGCATGCGGAGCACAGCACATCCCCGCCACCTCCATCACTGCTCCAGAGAACAAACCCCAACACTCGCAGGGAGATGGAAATGTGCCGGCTGCTGCATCATTACGCCCCTCACAGGGTGGGACAAAACACAACAGCCCCCCCACAGCACCTTAAACACTGCACGAGCTGGACAGAGGGGAGAGCTCTGCGCGGGGAGAGCTCCCTCTGGGGAGCTGGGCTGCCCCGAGCACAGGAGGAGGAGGAGATGCAAGATGCTGAGCCTCAGCACCTTGAAGTTTAATAAAATGTGAAGGTTAAAGGTGAATAAAAGCAGATTCCGCTGGGAGAGGGAAATAAATAAGCTAAATTCAGCTTCCACCAAGTCCAGGGGTGTTCAAGGAGACAAGGAGCGTTCAGCCAAAACCCCAGGTTAATGGGAGCTTTCCAGAGCACGGTTTTAACACCAATGTTCAAGGATTTTTTAAAAAAACTTCGTCGGCACCAGCAGGGAGCCTGCAGGGACCTCGTCCCAGGTTCCTGTCCCTGCTGGGTTCGTGACAAACGTGTTTTGTTGCCCCAAAGCCAGGCACAGGGGAGGCTGGGAGAGCCGGTAGCAGCCCCAGACCTTATCACATCCCTCCAACCTGCCCCCCTGCAGCAAAAACAAAACCAAAAAAAGAGAGAGAAATGGGTCTCCAGCCCCCAAACCCCAAATACCAGGAAGCAGAAACTTGCCTAAGCGTGCCAGGGGAGGCACTGGCAGCAAGAGCAGGACCTGGGGGTGCAGAGAGGGAAAGGGAAGAGCGTTAAAACCAGCATGGGCCTCCGAGAAAGCAATGGGGTAGGGGGGTGTCAGCACCAGCGGCACAGGGCAGCCCTTGCCTCTGCCAGCAGTCTGGGCTGGAGCTGGCATGATTGCTTTTAATTAATGTGTTGTGCAGACATTCCTTACCATAAAAAGCCAAAAGTGCAACGTTTGGCCCTGCCTTGAACCCTCGAGGCAGCCCGGAGGGGCGAGCGCTCCCCCGCTGCTCCTGCCTCCAAGCAGGGCTGGGAGCCCGTCCACCTCCACACACTCCTTCCCTGCGCAGGGGAGAGGCAGGAGGTGCAGGAGGGGTTCAAGCCGGGGCCAGGAGGCTGCCTGGGTTTAGGAGAGGGGAACCGGGTGGCTCTGCTTTCCCCTTAGCTCTGGGGAAGAAAGGGCGTTGGGCTCGCGCTTACGGCTGTGCAGCCAGGAGCAGCAGCAGGCAGCACCTCCCTGGTGCACAACGCCTCCTCCCTGCTGCACAGCCACTGCTGAGCTGGGCCCTCAGCGGCCTCTCATCCCCTTTTTGTTCCCCCAAACACTGCCAGGGCACCCCCAGGGCATCCAGCAGCCCCGCCAGAGTCTGGTGCTGGCAACCGAGAGAGCAGGATGCAGCAGGACATTGCACACCCCATAATCTGACGCTGTTCCACCTCCTCCGAGCTGAGCTGCCCCAGATTCTCTTCAACCCCAGACTGGAACAGCTTTCCAGGCTGACAGCAAAGCCCAGAAATGCCTCTTCCAGTGTAGACCGTGCAAAGGCCTTCCCAGAGCCTCCAGAGAGCAGCTGGGGGCTCCATCCCAGACCCTAAGGGCCCTCACGCATTTCTGTGGGCTTTGGCCAGCCCCAGAGCATCAGCACGGGGACGATGCCCACCCCTGCACCGAAGCTCAGATGCTCCAGAAAGGCCACAGGCAGAACTCCTCTCTTCCTTCCCCTAGCTTTGCTTGCAAGCGTTCCAGGTGAACTGCCTTGCCCTGGAACCAGCTGCAATAAAACGCGTGTTTTATAGCCTCGGCCTGAGCGCATCAACGAATTCCAGCCGCTCTCCTGGAGAAAGAAGTCCAGATCAGATCACTGCTGCAGCAGAAACAGGTCCAAAGAGACGGAATCCAGCTCCTTCTGGTCAGTGTCAGTGTGTGTATCCAGCACGGCCGACACCGCACGTAATGCGAGCCAGCAGCGCACTGCTTGAGCTCCAAAATGCTCCTCCCAGGGCCTGCCAAGCCTCCAAGAGGCTCTCGGAGCTGGCAGAGGAAAAACAACTGGCACTGAAGCCTGATTTCCCCAAGCATTTGAGATCAGAGGGCTCTCAGGTTGGTGCTGAGCAGCCACCAGACCCCTGAAACACAGCCAGGCAGGTGAGGTCAAGCTTTGACCCCCTGAGGGGACCAGCTCTGGGCTGGATGGGCCTGTCAAAGGTGGTGGTTTGTTGTTGTTTTTACTCCAGGTGTTTTCTACACCTCTAAAATACCCGAGTGCTTCAGGCCACGCTCAGGTCTAGGCTCAGGAGGAGGTCAGAGGTTGAGAAAGGCCAAGAGTTACCTGGAAAACAGCTCCGTGCAGCAGCTGGGTCTGCCACGGCAGGACCTGTGTCCTCACCCGGGCTCTAACATTCAGCTCCTGCGTGGCACGGGGTGAGATGTGCTCCTGGCCACAAACACCTGGGGCAGAGCATTCCGAGGATGCGCAGCCCTGACTCTCCCAGGGAGCAGCTCACCTCACAGCTCTGAGGCTCCCTGGGTGGAGAAATCTCCTCTGCTAGGAAAAAAAAAAGGCAGAGTTGGTGGATAGGCAGCAGCAGAGGGTTAAAAACGCAGTTCCCTACCTTTCTACATCTGTTCTCACTCTCTGCTTCACGCCGAGGTCTGCCTTGTCCCCTCCCCTTCCCCTCGGGGTGGTGGCACAAAGGCTCTCCTATCGCTGGGCTAATTAGGTGCCAGCAACACTCACTGCTGTGAACATGGCCTAGGTGAATCATGGATTTGCTCCAAATTGCAAAGCAGCAGCTATTGTGAGCGCTCCCAGCTCTATGGAAACCCCACCTTTCAAGTGTTACCACAGGCAGACAATGGATTAGAGCCCACAATAGAGCGAGCAGCAAGGTGGGAACAAGAGGTGCCTGGACGGAGACCACAGAAACGCAGCACACACGCCCCAAGCTCTCAAAGGCCTTGGCGTGAAGATGGCCACATCTAGCTCCTGCAGCACAGCCTCAAAGTTCTGCCCCAAGGATTCACACACTCCCTGTGTCAGCTGTGCAAAGCATAAACGCTTCTACACCAGCCTGAAAATATCTAAGCGTAAGGCCCCGCGACACAGAACTGCGGCACACATCTAGAGTCTTGGCTCAGGATCCACAGAAGGAGGCAAAGACAGCCAGGAGGTAGCGTGTCCACGGGTTTATAAATCTGATAAATACAAGTATAACGCCCTGCCCGCCACAACGGGGCAGGGGAGGAGGGAGGGGAGTCACAAAAGTTGCTGAGAGAACAGTGACTTGTACTTGGCAGCTGGAGAAGTACAAGAGGGCTGCGGATTTACGCTGATGTGTCAAACAGCTTCTCGATCATCTCTCCCACTTGGTCGACCTGGTACTTGATGTACTTCTCAGGGTTCTTGGTGAAGGGCACGTTGCCATATCTGCAAAGGAAGACAACCCACAGGATGCAGCAAAAGACCCTTCTCCATACTGAGAGAGGCCGTCCCCACCTGCGTCCTTCCTCTGCCAGAGAAATCAGCTCTCCTCCAGCAGGTCTCACCTGAATCTGATGGGCTGTCTTGTAGGGAGCAAGTGACCCTGCTAGTTACAACGGGTCTCCTGAGGTTTACGTGGGTAAACCCAGGGTGGCTCCGAGCTCTGTGCTAGCTAGAACATCTGCACTCACCCTGAACAAGGAATTGGGGTGACGAGGAGGTGTTCACAACTAGCAGAGCTCAGCTTAAGGATGTGTTAGTGTACAAGATGGAAAAGCTCCAACAGGACAGTGGAAAAGTGCTTCAGCTCTGGCTAACCTAGGTCCCAAAGACCCAAACCCAATGAGATGACAACGATGCAAGAGGTTCTCACCTGTTCAGGAAGGCACCGTAGGTCTCTTTCACAATGGTTTTCTGCGCCCGGCGAATTTTGTCCCGTTGCTCCATGTCTGGAATTGCCCAGGCCTTCTGGATCTTACATAGCTCCTCCAGCCCGTCATTAAAACCCTGCCCAAAATAAAATTTGGAGAGTGTTCTGACTACAAACACGTCTGTAAACCAGTGCTATTTTCCTCCACTGGTGATCACTACTGGACAGGCGTTCTCCTTAGGCAGATCTTTTTTCTGTCCCTGTTTGCCTCAGTCATGTTCTTCTACCATCTACCATCTCCTTACCTTAAAGCGCTCCTTAATCATCTGCCTCTCCTTGTCCTTGAGCTGCAATAAGGAGAGAAAAGTTTTTATTTCGTTGCCAGAAATAAAATCCCAACATCACTGTTTGCCCACAGATTCCCCATCCAACCTAAGTGATATCCTGCCTACTTGGCTCGAATTCCTTCTCCTGAAGCAGAGAGGAGAGAAGCTGCAGTGAGCAGCACAGTACATACAGCTATTGGTTTTCATCTGAAGTACATTTAACGAGGGTAATTTTCAGCCAGAACAGGCATAAAAATAGACCTCTTTATGCTTTGAACCCTTTCTTAGGGAAGGTCTTTGCAAATCCAAAATAGCAGCATTTGCTCAGGTGAAAAGAGAAGAATGGAGGCTGAAATTAAAAGACTTGTGTGAATCTGGGGCAAGGGAGATTAGAAGGCAGCATGATTATCCATCTCGTCCTAGCCACAGTATTCACTCCACAGAGCAATACTGGCACAAGCTATAAAGGTGATTTCTGTGAATCTTTGATTACGACAAGGGACAGGACATTTCTGGCAGTTGCTATCATCATTAAATCATCCTGGCCTGCCCTCTCACCTTCACTCCTGGTTGAAAGACGGGCAGATTTCTCTCCAGGATGTAATCTGTCACCTTCAACCAGCTGCATTTGAAATGATATGGGAAAGGAGCAAAAAGAAGGAGTTATTTACATCTCACCACAGCACGTATGCCCTCACCCATCACCCAAAGGCCAACCTAAACAACACACACGCCAAAACTTTCCACAGTGACCATTTCCCAAGATTCATCCCTTGGGAACCAGAATACTTGGTTTGGGTTTTAAACTAGTTTGTGTTTAAGGCTAATCTCTCCCACTCTCCACCAGCACTGGTGGTGAATCTCCCAAGAAGTCTCAAACTCTGACAGAAGTAAGGGAAGAGCAGAGGATGTCTCCCGACCTGCGCTGGTAGGTCTGGATCTGCTGTTCAATGAGCTCCCGGTAAGACCTCTCAGCTGTCTTCTGTGTCACGGCTACCAACTGGATCAGCTCAGACCTGAAAGGAAAAGAAAACACCAGGAAACCGGTGAGCCAGGTGCTCTCAGGGCTACTGCTAGCAAGATAGCAACATTTTGTGTCCCTATCAACATGATCTTTTGTGCCCTTTATAATAAAAGAGATCTTGAAATGCTTGAACTGGGAACAGAAACTATTCCATATTGCTTTCCAAAGCCACACCCTAAATCCTCCCAAGACGAAAGGGTTCTCTGCAACGTAAGGTATCTCTGATGCTTTTATCTCCCCCCCGTCATGTAATGCAGTGTCTATAAACAGGGCAAAGGTTTCAAAACCTTTTTCAAGCAGTCTCAAGAATGGAAGAAATCACAGAGAAGAGACAGGCCTGCAAGTAAACACACTCTGGACACCAGAGACTGGTTGAAAATTGTGCGTAGCATCAGCTTGGACTTCAAAGAGATGCACACTTACTTCTCCAGAGACTTCAGAATGTAGTTGTAGTTGTTGTGCAGAAAAATGGCACTCAGAGCCGGGTCTTCATAAACCTTGGATTTACTGAGAAGGTTAAGCTGCAAGTTGCCCAGTACTTTACCTTAAAGAGGGAACAACAGAGGAGAAAAAGTTTTGCACTAAATCTTCTCGTAACTGGCAATCCAAACCCAGGACTACGTGCTGTAACCATGAACCTGCAGCAAAGTGAAGAGCACAGCCCCAGATGCATGTACAGAGAAGGGTGTGATCACGTCTAATTAGCAATCCTACAAGCCTTACGCAGATCTTTCCTCGGCAAGTAACCAAAACTGCCCTGTGAACTACTGCCTTTGTTGCAGCTGGCAGCATGGGCTCAGAGTAAGTCCCAGGGCCAGCACAAGTGATCAGACTCAGCCCCACCACAGCACAGGCTCACCTCAAGGAACCTGATGGACCTGAGCACCGTGGTAACAGACCATCACGAGGCAGTCCCACGAACCCATCTCAACATTTTACTCTTAAATACACAACCGAGACTTTACAGAGCCCCTCTGGCAGCTGGCAGTCCCTACAGGGCTGAAGGCCCAAAGCCCGGTGTGAGAACAGTTTAAGGCAGCGGATAATGAAAGCCAAACAACCTGCTGCATTGTGCTCTGTCCTGTCTAATTGTGACTCCGAAACTCCCAGGCTGATCCTTTATCTCCATCCCTTCCATCAGACTCCAGGTTGAACAGAGAAGGATTGCATGGAGCAAGAGACACAGCCTGTGCTTCTCACTCAAGAGCAAGCCATGAGAAGAAGAGCCAAGGGGGCAGAAATGGGCAGGTGTGCAGGGTACTCACAGATGTAGGTGCTCAGCAGCCGCCTGCTAAACTCCGAGCTGTAACTGCTAGCTGAAGAGCTGGTCTCTGCAAGGAAAAGAGCCTTAAGCCAGTTAACATGCCAGGAGGAAGGGCAGGGTTCGTGTGGCCAGCCTGCCTCTGTTCAAACAAGCCCCTTCCCTGTTGCTATGGCATTAGGACAGAGCTCCTGTTGACAGTGAAATTAGCTCCCTGCTTCGGTGCCGACTGTCAGGAGATTATCCAGGGTGAGGGGGAAGAAGCTCTGCACCCTGTGATCCTTGTGGCTGCATCAGGTGCTGAGCATCCTGGCAGAAACCTCTCCTCTCCTTCCTAGTGCTCAGAGGACATCCACTTGATCAGAAATCAAATCATTAAGCAAATCCTTTCCCCACCACCCAAAAAGGGGTTTTAAGCACTAGAAATTTGTAGTCGGAGAACAAATGAGCTGCAGCAGTGGCTGCGTGCTGCCGTGCATCCCTCTGAGCACCAGAGGGATGGTTTCTGCCCTCCAGGGAGGGTTTGTGTCCCCTGGGACACACGGGGCAGCCGTCTTCTCCTCCCCCTGCCAGCGAGTTTGGCAGCCAGGCCTAGCTCGGGTGGTCTGAGTTCAGAAGCGCCCCATGGGAAAGGCCTCGAGGCTCCCGTTGCTGGGAGTTGGACAATGAGGAGCTGAGGGCGCTCGGGATGAAGCACGACAGCAGCTGGGCCAATTTGCTGCCCGTGCCAAGCGGACTCGGTGCCATCGGAGTGCCTGCAGCCTGTTTCAGCTCATGTGGCATCCCTCTTTGTCTGCAGGTGACGAACCCTCGCTATTCTCTCCAGCCCACTGGCAAGAGTTACTCACCCTCCCCTTTTTCCCCCTTTCATTATGCCCCCCTCCCTTTTTTTTTTTTTCTTTTCAGTTAGATGTTAATTTATTTACCACTCCTGGAGGACAAAGAATTAACATACATCACAAGAGCCCAACGCAGCGTGAGCGGGTGTGTGGGGGTAAGGCTGCTTACCTCTGGGATCTAAAGGAATATTGTATGTGTCCCCAAGAACTACAAGGATTAAGGCAGAGCAGAGAGAAAAGGGGAGGGAGGAGAGAGAAAGAGAAATGCAAAGTGCAAAAACACAGGTTAGAGACCGCCATCCCTTTGAGAACAAAGCAGATATTAACACAAAGCAGCCACAGACAGCTACACCGGAGAGCAGGCAGGAGTCCCTCCAAGGCCACAAAGGGAGCTGGAGATCACGGAGGAGAGGCTGAGTAACCTCCTGCCCCTGCTAGTGACTTATTTGCGTCACCATTATTTGCATTTAGCAAGACACCTCACCCCACCTCAGTTCAACCTAACTTTCAGGGCAAAAGAAAGCCTCCTCTGCATCCTCAGCAGCAGTTCACCGGTCCTTGAAATGAGTGCATGACCCACGTAACCTTGCCAAGACACTGAGCAAAGCCATCCCACCCTCACTCTGCAGTGAGACAGGGCCCTGCACAGCTGCTCCGTGGGCAGCAAGAGCAAGGGATTGGCATTTAACTGATAAGCTTTGCTTCTGCCACCACTTGAGGGGAGCTCTGCAGAAAAGTGCACGCGTTTCCCATCACTGGCAGAGGGCATCCAGCAGCAAACGGTCCCAAAGGCCACGCTGCACAAACAGAACGAGAGGTACAGTGCCTGGATTCTGCCCAGGTCACCTCACGGATGGCTCTGAGGCACTAAACATCAGTCCTGCTTAGCAGACCTGTTGTAATTACACCGACTTCAAGATTTGCTAATTGAGCAGGCTGCAGAGAGGCATTTCTCTCAAGCTGGCTTTGCACAGCAGGATACCTCTGCACCTGGTGGGACACTTAGCTGCAATTAAAAAGGAAGTGGCTTGTGTCTGACCACATCCATGACGCTGTATGACCAATACAAAAGGGTTCAGAGCTGGCAGAACCTCCCAAGCAGGACCTGGGAATATAAGTCTGGAGGCAGCTGTAAGCTTCCCTCTTCTCCAGCTCCTCATGGAGCTTTCTCCAAGTGCCAGCTAGCAGCCTGTGCCTCCTCAGGTCCCTCTGCCCCCTGAATCTCCAGTTCTCCCCCTCTCCAGCCTGCTCTGTTCTGACCTACTTGAAGACATGAGCTCTGTGAGCAAGCTGAGGGCTCACTACAGAACCAGGAGCTGCTGCTCTGCCAAAAATCATGTTCTCCCTCCGTGCTGGCACGTGACTAGCTCAGGATTCCCAGCTTGACCACGGCTGGATGCTGAGGAGAACGCTCTTGCTGCTGCTGTTGTACTCTGACTGGAGGATTTGGCAGAGAAAGAAGGCAAATTCATCACTACACAGCCCAGCCACAGCTAACTCAGCTGGACCAACCACCCTCAGTCCAACACAGTCACAGGGAACCAGTCCCGTGTCAGATTTGGAGCTAAATGGCTAAGGCATCCTCTCGATTCCATAATGCACACCAGCAACAAACGCCATCCCAAGAATACCTGATAGGATCAAATGTGGAAGGCCAGCAGGGAAACTCTCTGCATCCCTTGGAGCTC